AGTGCCGTCGGACAGTACTGTAGTCACTACGAATCTCCTTTTGCAACAGGAGTGACCGATGGCATCAGGTAAACGAAATTGAAAAGCACTGTTTCTGGATACGCGACGAGCACAGGCGGCATGTCGACACACAGCAACGCGTACACCGCCGAGCCGCGGAGCATTCGACCACGCGCACACACTCGCCGACCGACCGACGTTTCAAAATGCAGTCGGCGGCATCCAAAATAAAACGTGTTTACATCAAAGAACACCAAATAGAATCTGGACGTCCGTAACGGTACTGGCCGCGCCCCCTGGACTTCCAATCGGTGCCGAAAATGCGCACCCCCGTGAGAGCCATGTCCTTGGCTACCCGAGGCCAATGTTGCCGGACGGAGCCGAAGTTACGGTTTTGATTTCTGCTCGTGTTGAAAATGAGATTAAAGGAATATATATATATACAGTTTTTTGCGAAGCAAATGACGTAGTGTCTTTTACTAGAGCTTTTTTATCCGAAATCACTCATTATCTCAAAATCTTCGGGATTGAGCGGAGTTGCCCTTTAAATCTAGGGCCTCTTTAAAGGGATACTACAACGAAATTTCGGTGCTCATTTTTTTGGTCTATATGTGTTCAAAAGAGCAGTATCACATGGAACATTGCAATATATTGTTAAAAAAGTCTCGAAAAGGAATTTTAAAACAAATTAAACGATTAGCAAAAAGCACCTGGTGGATGTCGCTAACGCCTCGTTTGTAATGCTCGTCTAGGAACCTTGACAGCTAGTGACGGAGGTTGTCTCGTCTTCGGCCACGACGAGAGAAGAGGGGCAGGAGGAACTCCCGTCTTCCCGAGAATCCCTTTTGTGTGTCACAGAAGTCGCTATTGTCCCCCTAGAAGATTATAGAAGATTAACCCGTCACTCAAAATTCGTACAAAAGCAGCCGTTTCGGTGGCTGGAACGACTAGGCTAGAGTGCCTTTATGTGCGCTTCGCATAGAGTGATGCCAACTGCCTGTTTCCCTTTCCCACACCCTCTTCCACCGCCATTTTGTTCCTCTCATTGTTTCCCCGTGCGCCGGAAAGTGGCCTTTGTGTCCATCGGTAATCCCATCCGAGGGGGAAAATGCTAATCCTCCCTCCGTGGGTTCCACAACGCTGCTCCGAACTTCTGAGATAAGGTGCTTGTTTCCGGGAGGGTTATAAGCCTCACGGATTATCGCCGAGGAACAAAATGGCTGCTGGGTTGTCGGCGAGTGGTATTACAAAGGGTGGCATCACCCTAGCAAAGCGCACATGAAGGCTCCCTAGACTAGGCCATCCTCTCTATGTCAGCCTCGCCGTAGCTTTGCTCGTCTTGAGACGACCTACGTCACGATTGCGTTGGATGTCACGTGCTCTAAGGTGAGCCTTCTCCGAGCGCTTGCCAGAGTGGGCCGTTTATAACGAAAAATACAGCCACCAGGATCAAAATACAAACGTACGATTGTCATTTACGGATATTGTGGATCATGTTCAACCTATTTTTGAATACGACTGGAATATTTCAGATTTCGTTGAAGTATCCCTTTAAGGGTTAAGGGGCAGATTTGGAATATGTTGCAATTTCGGAGGAAACGGGGAGGGGGGGGGGGGAAGTATAAATATGAAAATAAAATAAAAATAATGACTAAGTCAATCTAAATAACAATATAAATTCAAAAATATAAACTAGAAACAAAAAGGTAACGCCCAGTACATAAGATACACTATTTTCAAATTCGATATGTTTGTAATTATGAAATGGCAATGTAATTGCGAACCAGAAATTCACCAGGCGTAAACCAAAACGCATTTGAACTTTTGCATGTTCCCACAGGGAAAAGGCTAAGAAAAATGAAAAAAAATCTGATAAGGACAATATGCAACAGAGGGCACTAATCCCGATACACGTAAGAATGCCAAATAATTCTAACGTAGTTCTAATAGCCGCGTTCCACTAGAGCGACAGACAGCAACAAACGACAGCAACAAACGATAGCGACACACGACAACGAGCGACAGACGACAACGACAGGCAGCCTGTTTGTTGGAGTCCGCCGTCCCACCTGGCGGACACTACGCAGAGCACGGGGGCAAGGAAACTTGTTTCCTAGTGGGACTGGAGTTGTCAACAAAACTCTTCAAAATACACAGACAAACAGTCTGGCGACGCGGTTTTCGCGTTTTGCTCTTTGGGCATAAAACGCGCCGACAAGCACGGTGAAAGTGGAGACGATTACATTATTTTTTTATTAGAGCTTCCGCTTCTCTTCATTTGCCGTTGGCAACTTTCCGCACAGTCGTGACAACCGACACCACACTTTTTCCGAACTAGAATACCCGAATCGTTCCTTTTTTTTGGCCGTTCGAGGCATTCTAGGTGAGCGCCACGGAATTTCACGCCGATTTTGAGGATGTTTATAACTTCATATTCCAATGATAGAGGGCAGGCGTTTTTTGGTTGACAATACGGCATCCCGATTATCACAGAACGCGATGACAAGTCTCTCGCCTGCCGGAATGGCTTGCCGCGGAACGTCGTGTCCTAGTTCGTGGTGAGCGGTCTTACTTTGGTCAGTCCTCGCACATGGGTGTATCCATCCTCATGCAGGGGCCTACACTTCGGCGCCTTGGAGTACCACTTCGCGCACCATGTTTTCGCGAGCAAAACTAGTCACAGCGAAATCCCTTTCGCAACACGAGCGCCCGGTGCCAGCCAGCAAGCCGCGCCCGCGACCACTACCTACAATCGAGGGACCGGAACTCCGGGGCCGGGAACGAGGAGTGGCCGCCCGCCAAGGGCTTCTCGTTCCGGGAGGGAGGGTAGAAGGGTGGGAAGGGAGGCAACAGAAGGCATAAGCGGGCGAGGAGGATAAGTTTGTCTCCGAGAGACGCTCCTCAGTGGGACTGCTTACTGCGCTTCAAGTCCAACGACAGACAAGAACTCGTCCGTCGTCTGTCGCTTGTCGGCGCTTGTCGGCGACTGTCGCGGGTGTTGGTCGTTGCAGTGGGACAGCATCGAAGACACGGAACTTTGTGGTGTCGTCGGACAAAAACCTGTGTTTGTCGCTCTAGTGGGACGAGGCTATAACAAAGTAATTCTAATAACTTTCAGAATGATTGCGTAATTAAAAAGAAAAGATTTTTAGAGTTGCTGTGTTTCTATCTCGGTTCCACTTATGTACGTTGTTTTTCATGGCGCGGTTCATTTGCAGAAAGAGTGTATCTGCATTGGCTAAAGCGTGACGCCAGTCTTAGCTGATATCTATCTGTCAAAGTATGACAGAGGCTTTAAACAAATGTTGGAAGCCGATGCCGTCCGCATTTTTAGGTATGTGGATGATTTTTTGGTGCTGTTTCACCCACGGGAAGTGTCCCGGAAGGCTTATTTTGCATAAAAAAATGTTGGGAGTATTTAGGGCCTGCTCCGCGGGGTTACACTTTACAAAGGAGGATTCTGTAAATGATAACTTGCAAATCCTGGACCTTACACTATCGCTTCAGCAATCTGTGTGCTGGTGTTATGCTCCGAGATCAAAAAAAGTGTTTGCTCCCTTACAGATTCAACCATTCGAAGGTGGTTAAAAGAGGTATAGTTTTTACCTGTCTCCGCGCATCCTTGGCGAAGTCTTGTCCACACAGGATGGTGGAGGATTTCACATCCCAGGTAAACAGGCTGAAGAAGGGGGGTTATCTATCGCCACTCCTGAAGGCCCGTTCACACTGGACAATTTCTTGCGTTTTCTTACGTTACGTTACGTTACGAATTCCTTACGACGACTTACGAGCGCCCGTTACTATGGCAACCAGCGACGCAGCGCCCGTCGTAACGTAACAGAAGGAGTTGGGCTCCGCTCAACTTTTCTTGCGACCGCCTACGTTCAACCAATCGGGACTGGAGGAAGCGAAGCCCCTGCGCATGCGCGCTGAGCGCGGGACCAGTCGCTTTTCAAAATGGCAGCGCAATGTGGTCTCCCGTCCATTCACCAAGCCCTCATTGCCGAGGTAGAAAAGTACCCATGGCTCTGGGACGCCCGAAGGCCGGAGTACCGGCTGCCAAGTATGAAAGAGAACTCTTGGAAAGCCATCGGGGCCTCTCTGAGTAAGTTTCGTCGCATTCTTCTGTTCCAAAAATACGAAAGAGTTAGACAAAGAGGACGGACAGGACAAACATTGCACATGCGTGAAGGCGCGTACGGGAAGCTAAAATTCGTCTCGAAGGTGTATTGGGTGTATTCTGCGGTACGGTTCAAGAGCGGGAACGAACTATATCGCCCGATTTTTGCACGGCCCGAGTGTTAACAAAAATCACAGTCCGACTAGCGTGCGCTCGCAACTACGGTCAGCCAGAAAATACTGGCGCCGGAAGTTGCAACAATTTATGGACATACTGGAAGACCCTCAAATAGTAAAAAATAAAAAAATAATAAAAACGGACGAAGAAAACAAAATTTTAAAAGCGGCTGAATTCCTCACCAGCTCGCCTGCACTTTATCACTACAAAGAATTATGAAAGTTCTACGTTTTGTCGTACATCTTATCGTGCAGTGCAAGAGTAGCAAGCTGTCACCCTCACGCTTGAAAATATGTTTGGTTTTGGGGTGAAACGTGGCAGAAAGCTTTATTTGAGATTAGTTAGTAAAAAACAAAATCAAAATATTTCTTTTTCAAGTTGTACTAACAAGTTTTTAAGCATTGGTATGCAACTGGAGCAGCTGTTACTAAAGGTTGTACCATACCAACTGAAATGGTGGCCACATCAACTGAAATTTCGCATGTTGAATGGAAGTCTCCATTGTGGGGGATGCTGAAAATTTGGAAATGACTACAGTTTGGCCTTCTATTACAGAAATGGATCCTGCCGAGTGCCTTCACATGTGGCAGAAGATTAGAGAAAGGTACGGGCGGGAGTCAAGAACCAGCTGTGGCCGCAGTGGTGCTGGGCGAGATGAGGTGCAGCGGCCCAGCTGGGACCTCTTCCAGTACCTTCAATTTTTAGCTGGCCAGAGACGTCGCAGAGGGTACTGTTTGTTCTCTACAAGGTTTTATTGACAACTATAAATATGATTTCTTTGTGTTCATTCAATATGCTGTTTTCTACTAGAACCAAGGCCCGCAAGATGGTTGGCAGCGCTGGCCCTGCCACAGGGGTATTGGAGACACCAAGGGGTATGTGAAATAGTTGGCAACATTGACTTTTAACAAAGTCTGTTACTCTCAATTTAGAAATCAAAGTACATTTAGGCATTGGTGTGTGAGTGGTTTCATGAATTTTGTGCTCACTCATGTTCAACATTTACATTGTGTTTCAACATGCAGATCTCCTCATGGGGGTCTACACGCCATGTGGGGGAGGTGCCACCGAAGACATGGCAGAGGAAAGTTGTGAAGCCAACCTGGACGACGTAAGTGCATTGTCTTGAAGCAACCTGTTTTAAGTGCAGTGCAGGAATGTGCCCATTTTCTTTGTAGAACTCCCTCGATCGTAGCCTGCAGCCAACGGGCACCTGCCAGGTGTTGCTGACGCTGGAGGGGGATGGCCAGCTGCCCAGCCCATCTCAGCTGGACCCGACTCCTCCGGTGTCACCACCCCAGGTGGCCCCAGTGGCAGCACCGATGCAGGCTACGGTCTTGCCCGCAGTGCCTCCACACCCGCCTTCAAGGAAGCCAGGCCGCAAGATTACCGCCTCGGAGCGTCGTGCCCGGGAGGATGCAGCGCTGGGCAAGGTTCTTAGTGAATCTACGAGGCAAATGGCCAACACATGTAAAAGGCCACACATTGATGCCTTAACCCCAGAAATGGCACTGGGGTTTCATTTTGCCAACGAGCTGGCGGCCCTTCCACCACATCTGAGGTGCCTTTGCAAGGAGAAAGTACTGAAGGTGTTCCACGAATTTGAAAAAAGAAATCTAGTAGAAAAAGGCCTTATGTCTTTAGATTAGAGTAGAAAATGATATTTTTGACAAGGTTTGCCTATACAGTCATGGCTCATTAATATGGAGACCTCCATTCCCTGAAAAAATCATCCGTAATAACAAATCGCAGTCTATACCCGTTTTCACCTCAAGAACCGAAGTAAAAAAAAGTTTGGCTCCTCGCGGAGCATCACTACTTTTTCCTTTTATGAGGAGAATTAATATATATGTAGGTGCATTTTAGATTAGATATATGTAACCTTATCAAGATGTATACGTTTCAAGCGCCAAAAGCATCGCTTCTTCCTCCGACAACCAAATATTGTAAGAACTACTACGCCCGGCGTATGAACAATGCGCAAAACGTCCTTTTTTTCTTGAGGTGAAAACGAGTATAGAACGCATGCAATTATTAGATAACGAGCGTAGACAAGATCGTTCAGCCTTTCCACTCTCGTGAAAAAGGAAGACCAGCGGAGCTGTGCTCGATACACTGTGTGATTCTTCTTCGTCGTCGTCCGTTTTTCGCGCTGTTTCCTATGATGAATTCCTACCAACGCGCCCAACTATCCATTTTTCTATTATAGCTGGAAAGGTTGCCGCCATCTACGATCGACGGCGGAAATCATTCTGGTTGTGTGCTTGCCGCCATTGGTTATAGATGGCGGTAGCTGTCCAGGCAGGTTTGTGTCGACATACCGGACACGATCCTGGGGAACCTAGCCCTTAACAGCTCCGCTGTAAAAAAGCAGGGTATATTTAACCACAAATTTATAGGATGTAAGTTTTCAATGTTACTTTTCGGCCCACTTTTCTGCCGAGACAGCGTGCACAGTCAATCTTGCAAAAGTAAAGCCAAGCTTTTTTTTTTATGAGGGGGTGGGTTTTTAACATATTGCACATGTCCTGAAGTCTTTTCAGTTTTGAATTTGTATATCTCTTTTTTTGAGCTGAGCTAACAGCTTTGTTTGCTTACATTTCACACTTGCCATGGCCTCTGACCATTTTGCTTCCCACCAGATATTGTCTTTCCCACTTCCTAACTGACCACAAAACCGTGCAACCTTGATTTTTATGCACTAAGAGTGCATCTGACAAATGAATGGGATTTATCACATGCCGTCCTTGACCTCAAACAACAACCGGGGGGCAAAGGGCACATTAGGGCTGAAAACCTTACCATCTTTAGGTAGGCAGGTCTTATCTCAAGACACGCCACAAACATTTGTGTACAGACTGTGACCTCTAGGGTTCACATTGTTTGTGTTGACCTATTTTAGAAAACTTTAATTCATATTAAAGAGACAAGAATGCATGTATATTCCCAATTCATTCCCCAAAAAAGTGGTCCATAGTTCGGACTGTGGGTTTCTATATTAACGGGGCACAATTACATAGCAGCAAATCCCTCTGTAAAATTTTTTTTCAAAATTGCAGAGCGTTTATAATAACAGGGTCCATACTAATGAGATGTGACTGTATATACTTGTTTGCCAAACTAACCTCAACCTTGTCAAGTTGCCACTTTATTTTCGGGAGGGCCATTTGAGTATAGAAGTTTTAATAAATTTGATTACAAACAGGAACACCACATTTATGTGGTGTTCCTGTTCGAGTAACACGGCTACGGTTCCCATTGTATGCCTGTTTGTATAAACAAGCATACAGCTCAGAAAGGAAAAAAATAACGGGTAAGCTTTCATGTATATACTCTCCAAGAATAAATAAGCAGATATTGCCTCTGTAGATAAAAGAAACCTAAATAGTACCTTGAATTTAGAACCATATTTAGATTGAAAACAACAAACCTTGCCCAATGATTTCATGCCAGGTAAAAGGCCTCTTGCAATATTTTTTACCCTTTTAGTTTCCACTCTTGTTGCTTAATGGCTTCCTACTTTGCTGGGTGCATTGAAACTTTATATTGTGTTTTTGTTTATATTGAGACCTGCCAACCAAGTGCAATATGTTTATTTTGTTCCTATTTACTTTAAGTGTGATAATCTATTGTCATTGACAGGTCAAGAACGGAGTATGAGTGGGAGAGGAGGAACCAGACGGGAGGTTGGAGCTGAGGTTTTTCCTCTCCACCCCAAGCTTTCACCCACCCCCTCCTCTCCCACTCGGTTTTTATTTTCTTACTGACTACAGACTACATATGTACTTCTTTTCTTGCTTCCCAATACAAAGTACTCACAGCTAGTACTTACCAAATAAAGAAACTATTTTGGGATAGTTCTGTGTCATTTAATTAACACATTTCTCTACATAATTTGTCATACACAAACTGAAAAAAATGAATGATCCCATTGCAAACTATGTCGCATGCCAGCAAAGTAATGATGAATAATATAGACTATCCGAGATGCTATAATGTACTATAGTGACCAGTATGCTGGCTGCTATAGTACATCAGTGCATGCCAGCACTCACTAAACTAAAAAAAAAAAAAGCAATGCCTACAGGCATATTCTTGGTATATTTTGTTCTTTCGTTCTACGACCATGCATTGCTTGAGGCTTGCACCAAAGCATTTGTTTTTATGTCCCATAATTTTGCCATTTACCTTTAGCTTTTATAAATATGCCCCAGTGTGATCACACATTATACTTTTCCTGCATTACAATTGTCGCCTGTGTTCCGTATAGGTTTGGTCAGCACTTTGACCAAATCTCGGCTACTTGGTGCTTGCTTCATCAATTTTTGGGCACCTCTGGCAGCAGAAAGCAATACTGCCTCGAACTCAAGGCTGTGAAATCATTTATGAGGTCAAACATATTAATGGTAATGCTCGATACAGAATGCAGAGAAACTGACAACACTTGCAACTATTCCAACAAAATGCTACACAGCAAATAAAATGGGGTCACCGAAAAAAGAAAAACATATTTCTGGCAAGGCATGGGGAAAAAACAGCTTCAGCCAACCAACCCGAGCATCGAACTGAGACCTGTAGCAAGCTCCTGTTGGTGTGTATTCCTACTTGGGACAACCAGACTGGGTGGAGCGCTTTCTGTTCACTCAAGGCCAAACGAAAAATTCCTCATTACTTTGGATTTTTTGAAGTCACATAGTGCCAATATGCTTGAAAACCCACAAAGCATTTTTGTCACCTCGGACATGTCACACGTAATTCAGAGACAAGTTAAAGCGAAAATTTCATAGTAAGATATTTGAAAGTACGCTTAAAAACAATCCTCTGGAGAAAGCAATAACCTGAAAGAATATTTAAAGCACCCGGTCAAAGGCGACTAACAAATTCCGTCTGGTTTTCTTCGCGAGTTCCCCAAGACAACCAAAAATAACTGACTGTTTCAGGGACTTCCAACGCTGTTATTTCACTGACCTTTCATGTGTATACGAGGTAAGTAAGATAAACAGAAAACGAGTAGTCTAACAATGATACTGCGCGTCATTAAAACTAATATAAGATATGTATTTCTCTGTGGATCGCATTTCCATGACCGGATGACGACTAAACAGTCGTGCTTCTCCTGCGTTAATTTTCCTGCTCAACGAAAAAATTGCTGGCACTCATCTTTGCTCCATAAAACACATCCAGTGCGCCAAGGTTGAAAGTGCATTATAACTTCATTAAAAATATTTCTAAATATTTTACATATAAGTGATGGCGTATTAAGCACTGGACAATAGTTTCTGAAATAATAAAAAAAAATGTGCCAAACGCACAAAAAAACATGAATACACTACATTTGCACGGCACGAACAGCTACAGATAGTCGAGCAAGAAACTTCATTCATTTTATGGCGGCCATGTCACGTCGTCCCAAGATGGGACGTGATGGGACGTCATCCCAAGATGGGATATGGCAGCGGGTGAAAAGGTCCCCAGGACCAAAGGTACAACTAGAGCGACTGTACATTGTGATAAATAATTGGTGACGATGCCAACAGGGCAATTTCCCGGAAATAACCTTTGCATATGCAGTGAGTGGCCTTAGGGACAACTGGGTGCTTGGACAGCTGGTGTCAAGCCTTTGTAAACATTTTTGTACTGCCATGTAACTTCGCCAGCGGGGCAGCAGAAGTACCGAGCGTATGTCTGCCTCACCTTCTTGGCATCGTCATTGTACATGTTTGAGCTTGTGCGGCCCACGTCTACAAGGGCACCGCCATCGTTCACCTCGGCCCTCCACTGGCCAAGCACGACATCCCCAAGCACACCTTCTTGGTCGGCATAGCCAGCAGGGCAGTAGCGGCGTTCCCCTTGCTCACTCTCGTCACACGTCCTCAGGTAGTTGTGCAAGCTGACGCATGCCCAGACAATCGCTTCCAGATTCTCCTCTGAGGCCTGGATCGGCTGCCTGAAGATGCGCCATCTTGCAACCAAGATGCCAAAGGTGTTCTGTATAACCCTCCGTGCTCGTGAGAGCCTATAGTTGAACACCTTTGGCACCACCGTGAGGTCTTTCCTTGGATAAGGGCGCATGAGGTTTGGGAGCAGGGGGAACGCCTCATCAGCCACAAACACGTAGGGCAGCTTAGTGCGTGTTCCAGGGAGGTGTGCAGGGGGGGGAAGGTCAAGGCCTCCAGTCATTAAGGACTGCCCCATTTCGGAGCCCCGAAAAATACCCCCGTCGCTGAAACGACCTGGCTGGCCGACATCCACAGGTGTAAACTTGTATGTAGCATCACAACTTGCAAGGAGGGCGATGCTGTGGAATCCCTTGTAGTTGTATGTGTCGGAGCCTGCGCCAGGGAGGGCTTGGATGGTCACGTGTTTCCCATCCACAGCTCCGACACAGTTGGGGAAATTCCACAGCCTTGCGAAGTTGCCTGCCATCCGCTCCCACTGGGCCATGTTGGGAGGCTAGAACAATAATGTACTTATGAGTTGTGGTCAGTTCGACCGCCACATGAAAACCACACTCAAGGCACTGGACCGGACGCCAAGAAAACAAGAACGCTGTTTCAATAGAGAATTCAAGGCTAGGTGTTTGTGGTTACAGAACACAATACAGTTAGAAAAGCAATTCACGAAACTCGCAACATCCGAAATGGCAGCACAGCCCTTGCTGTGGTTTTTCCAAATATTGCGATGCTGCTTATATTGTCACGTCCGCACTTGCTTCCACCACCAAGTGTCTTCCGCGACTATGTTGACAAGAGGCTTATTTTGCTATGTGGATTGCAAAGGTCGATCTAACGCAAAAGTTAACCTACCCTAGCCTGGGACGAGGCCGTGTCAGAGCTAAAAGCAGCCGCCGAAAGGCTGCGGAAAAGTAGGTGCTGATGAAATGTTTCGAGATATGTGAAGCATAAACTCATATTTTCAAGCTGATTAAGCAGTCGACGTATAATTGTGTGCAGATTGTGGCAGCTACGACAAGACTACCTCACCAAAGCATGTGTTTCTTTGGAACAACCACTATTGGAGTCAACATCAGCAGCTCAGGAAACAGCAGACGCAGAAATATGAAGCAAAATCTGGCATGCAAAGCAGTCGCGGCCCCGCATAAACTCATGTTTTCGAGCTGATTAAGCAGTAGACATACAATTGTGTGTAGATTGTGGCAGCTACGACAAGACTACCCCACCAAAGCACGTGTTTTTTAGAACAGCAGCTATCACGGTCAACATCAGCAGCTCAGGAAATAGCAGACGCAGAAATATCAAGCAAAATCTGGCATGGAAAGCAGTGGCGGCCCAGCATAAACTCACATTTTCGAGTTCATTAAGCAGTCGACGTACAATTGTGTGCAGATTGTGGCAGCTACGACAAGACTACCTCACCAAAGCATGTGTTTCTTTGGAACAACCACTATTGGAGTCAACATCAGCAGCTCAGAAAACAGCAGACGTAGAAATATAGAGCAAAACCGGGCATGCAAAGCAGTCACGGCTCAGCAAAACCCTATTTTTTAAAGCGTTGTTTCATCGCTACTTCTAACACTCTGGCTGCGGGCACCTGGAAGAGACGACAAGGCGCTGAGGGACACCTTGTAGGAAGCATTCGCCATCCTAATTGGTCGAGGGCATCTGTCGCTTCCGTAGGGAGACACACAATAGCACGAATGTAACGAAAAACGTATATGCCGTCACAAACTAGCCTCACAGGTGTTCGGGTCGTTGTCAAAAGTGATGTTCGGAGGGACTGTTAGCATTTAGTAACCAGCATTTTAACCTACCTTTTCACCCTTTTAAAGGGTTACATTGTTCCGTTTGTGATGTGACGCAGGCAAACGAAGCGCGCTGTTCCGGCTGACCCACATGCGTGCCAGTATGTCAAGCCCGTTCTCATTCTTCGTATACAGCTTTGCCCTCCCGGTTTCTTTTGCTGGAAAGGTGCTGAGTTTCATTTCACCTCTGGTATTAGTGACACCGTATCACCGTGAAATTGCTCGTGCGCATCAAAGGCCTCCTGAGTTCGCTGGAGCCATGGCCAGAGCAGGCTCATCTCGCCAGGTGAAGCAGGCGAAACTTGCCTGTTTTGCGGCGGCACAACTGGAGCGTTTGCCCAGCGTTGGTAGACGAGCACAAAAACTCGTGCGAAGAGGGGCGTACGAAATGACGGGGATGGAGGAAGTAGCATGACGTTTTGAGCAGATAGCCTCGCGGCTTCGTCGTGCATTCGGTTGCTACGAGCTGGTGCGAGCAGACTACAAGGAGATGACGCATGGAAGAACACGTTAGGGGTGTTGGCCATCCTCATTGGCTGGGGAAATCCATAAATTCCACACTGCTGCACGGAACTACTGAGATAGAGTATAGACACGAGCCATGTTTTGCTTGCCTTTCGGAGCATACACAATAAGGGCTGTGTTGCACATGCCTCATGCACTGGTGACATAGTTAAGTGCTGTGCTTACAGTTCTGTACAGTGGGTCCAACACCTTATGCAGCGCCCGACAGGTTTCCCCAATAATGAGGGAGGTCGTTGAACGTCCGATCCTGTAACAGGATGCGCAGATTCTCTGCGAGGATCCGTGCGCCAGGTACCTGAAACATTGAAATTGAGAGCCACCATGAGCACATGTAAACAAGGAGGTGGCCTAACAAGTCAACCTTACAGCGGTAAGTTTCAATAAGCCTCCAATTGCATACAAGTGGACTGGAAAACTATGCCAGTAGTTGCTATACTCTGTTTCACCTTGTGTTGTACCGCAGGAAAGGCTACAAGCGCGAGCTCCTTGCTCTATGGCGCACCTCGGCAGCACAAGCTCTCGTGCACCAAGGGCAGCTGCCAACACTATGAGCTCGCGCTTCTAGCCTTCGCTGCGGTACAACATAAAGTGAAACGGAGTATAGTAGTAGTCTAGCATATAAAAGAAGACAAAATCACAGAGAGTAATGGTCGTGCCATCTTCTCACCTACCTCCTAGGCGATTTTAAATAAGAAAATTAGTTTACAGAAAGTTCATTTATAAATTCCTGTTATTCGCTTCGTCTACCTTTCTGTCTTGATTGAACTAGTTTGGTGACGAAGACCATTGAGTAACCTTCAAGGAGACTGAAGCGCCGTTCACACTCTTGCGACCAAGTGAGACTGAGAGAGACCAGACCGGTTTTTAAGCCTCTTGCAATATCTTAGGACCAGCTCCGCTGCAGCGCACCCGGTCCTAAAAAATCGCAAGAGGCTTCAAAACTGGTCTGGTCTCTCTCGGTCTTACTCAGTCGCAAGAGTGCGAACGGTGCTTGAAGCGGGTAAAGAATTGTGCCAAGGTGAAAATAAAAAAACATAACAAAAATAAACTCTACAAGTGAGGCCCCTCCTCGCTTCAGCATGGTGCAACACAAGACTGCTGTGGTGTTGTGACAAAGTGAGATACAGGTGGAGCATCCCGCCTAATGCATACTTCAGCACAGAAACAGGTCTATTATGTTGACGAAATGTTCAGGGATGAAAGTGCACATGCGTTAAGTTTCAATTATCAAATCTCTACAACCGATGTTTCAATATTGGGGGAGGAAGGGGGAGGGCGTCTGCCACGCAAACAAAACAACCAACAACCTCGTCAGCAATTCAGTATCACAGAAAATATGAGCTACAACAGCCCTTCATGCTTTCGCGTACATATCTCTGTCCGTTTCAGGAGAAGTTTTGATCCATATTAGACCTGCAATACAAAGTTCAGGTACCACTCTTCCCACTTTTTCGCAGATCAAGAGATAATAAGGTTTACTACATCCGCACGAATAGCAAATAGCAAAATTGACTGTTGCAACTCATATTCGCGGTAGTACGTTCGGAATCCCCCGAATGTAATCAAGGTATGTACTTCCTATAAGGTGTCCTGGCTTACCGGATTGTTAGCGATAGCCGCTCCGCTGGGGAGATCGGCTTCCTCCAAGGAGTTTCCTCTCGTTGTAGTTGGGGCCCAACCAGAGCAAGTAGCTGGTCGAACCTGCACAAAAATAGCAGTGAGCTCCTGTGTGCGCGGCTGGCTTCGTTTTACAAGCGATTCCTAGGGAGGAACACACACACACACCTTTGCCGCGTCATCCTGAAGTACTGGAAGAAGTCGCTCCCGTTGTCCAGACGCATATCTCGAACGAGGTGATGGAACTCGCCAAACGTTTCCCTCGATCGAAGAAGGAACCGTATCCACTCTCGACAGTGGCGCCTTCGTCGAGACCGCAGAATCATCGCAGCGGTGGCTCGCGCTATCAGTGCCCAGTCCGTGTCGCTACCGGATTGAGCAACGTAGCTCTCGATGCACTGAACAAACAGCGCATGCAGCATATCGGGACTTTCGCAGTTCGAGGGAGACATGTCACTGCTACAGACCATACGACAGTCGACCGTACGCTCGCTGGCCGCCATGTCTGTCAGTGTTGCCTGGCTAGCTCGCTTGCTGTTGGCTAATCTCGGACAATACAGGTGATTTGCTATTGGTCGTTGCATGTTTTCAACGGAGCTTTTACGGAGCAGTGTGAACGTGCTGTACGCAAGCGGAACGTAACGTTAACATAACATAACGTAACGTAACTTAACATAACGTAAGAAACGGCCCAGTGTGAACGGGCCTTTACAGGAGTGGGTAAGTCACTGCTGCAAAGGCTTCGGGGGACTACTGTGGTCCCAGATAATTCCAAGCCGAGAGTGAGACCGGCAGTGGTGCCCCAGAGCTAAGGCTCTGTGTTGCCCTACGTACGCAAGGTCAGCCACAGGATTAAGGTGGTGGAGAGACACAAAGTCCCGGTTCTTTTCTCCGCCCCCGAGAAACTGGAGAATTTGTATGGTAGAATTTATAGGGGAGGGCAGCACACGCAGCGCGATGCAAAAAAGAAACACAAAAAGAAAAAAAAAACAGTTTGTAGCGTGCGAAGTGGGACTTGTGTATAGAATACCGCTATCGTGTGGTAAGCAGTGTATTGGACAGTCTGGTAGATGCGTCCACGATAGACTAATGCAGCCTGCATTATCTTTGAGGTCGTTCCTTGCCGTCGCATTTGGCGATTCAATGCGACTGGTATGGGTGCGTGCCTAAGTTTGAAGAGACAACAATAATGATGCGACACAACCACAAGAGGACGAGGGAGAGAACGGAGGCATTTTATATATCACGATGTAGGGTCAGTGCCCCCTCTGTTGCCCTCTATCAAAAAAAGATAGAATATCTCGTCCAGTGGGAACGTGGTGTGTGGTGACGTGGGTGTGGTGGATTGTTCGGGTTTTTTCGCGGCCCTTCCTGTTTCTTTTTCCTATTAAATTTTAGTTGTAAGCCAGCGCTTTGTCTGTGAATAAACTCTTTTACTGGTCCGTCGTTTGTTCTCGCTGTATTTTCGTTCCGATGCATCAATAACTTGCCCAGATTTCTACGCTATAACAATTCAAGTGGGGAGTAGCCGATGGAGCTCTTCGCACTGTTTCTTTGTTTTTCTCCATCCGTCGTCTGATGCTACAGGGTCACAGGTCATCGTTCCATTGAAGCATCCCCGCCTACGCCATGGTGCACTGTCATCATTTCAGCTCGACTTGTGGTGTAGATGCAAGTAGCTCTTGACAAGAAGCTCTCTGAACCGTTTAGCTTCAAGTAAGAATGCAGTTACTACATTCGTTTACTAAGTCAACTTTGTTGATGCTGTGATGTAAAATGCTGTTTTCATTCGTTCTTCATCATGTAATTCTTGGCGAGAATTTTTAATACATAATTCATCTTGCGGGGATAATTACATCATGCACAATTTCGCGCTTAATAGTAAACCCTATCTCGAGAATTATACACCTACAGCGTTCTTGTATCCTACATCATTGATTTTATGAAACAATAATTCGCCAGTTTAAGAAAACCAGCTTCCTAACCGCTAAGGCCTTTCTAGTCTAGGAGGTTGTTGCCTGACCCCTGCTCTAAGGTAAGCAACAGGAAGGGGTCCGCCGTAGAAACAAATCTCGCGCCTCCTTGCTGCAGACGCGAAACTACGAAAGCAATCTAGAGGACTGCCGCCGGTCGCGCAAAAAGAGCAAAAACATCCGGGTTATCGATCTGTCGATTTTCCTTTGGCGTCAGGAATTTTGACGCAAGTGAAAACGCATCATCGTAAAGGGCGCAAGCAGCCAGACAAAAAGATAGCGCCTAATCCCAAAAGAAAAGGACGATTCCACCGCGCCCCCGCATCAACATGCTATGCCCAGAATGGGCTAGGTAAAGGGTCAAATGCAAGATTAAACGTAATATTAACACGTTTTATTCCTTTTTTTGTTTACAAAAAAAGCAACAAAAAAAAAAGAAAATATTTTAATTGCAGTAGCGACGGCTGATGAGCAAAAAAGACTGAGTAAAGCATGGCTTCTCAAACCGATTTAGGGTTGTAGTTTTGGACACTGCAAGGCCCTTGCTGCTTCCTGTACACGTTGCGGGAGGAAGGCGTGCGGTTCGGTGTGGGTGGATAAGGAACCCGGCATTATAAAGGATGTTTCAGTTCACTTGCGCCAAGACTTAAAAGAAAGCTGGTGGACGCTACGCTTGTTGAACCAATGCAGGATTGTTCATAGTCCTCTCGTGCAAATCCAGAGATTTCTTGTGATAAGCTAAGATCGCTGATTAATACTAACTGACTTTTAAACTCTTAATTTGTACGCAAACCCCGCCATACCAAAGTTTTAGAGTAAGTTGAGCAACATCTTATCCTGTCATTTCCATAAATAAAGGTAGCCTTCATGTGTATAATATTGTTTAGCTTTTCTTTAAAAAAAGATCAAAGATCCTGTGCTAGATTTAAAAATTCCACGTACCGTATCTTCCGGAGTATAGTCCGCAGGGGCGAATATGGGGTCAGAAATAAAAGATTTTGCTTATGTAGCCCGCACCCGCTGCATAGTCCGCACGCTGGACATTGTCCGCACTTAGTGCCTAATCCGAACGTAAAAATGATCACAGAGAGCACACCTTGACAACTGCTTGCTGCCTTAGCTTGCAAAGAAGCTTGTATCACATATGAATCACTATTATTATACTTTGTTACTCATAACATCCTTCGCGTCTTGTCACAGTGAACGATGTAGAAAATACAAAACCTTGTATAGTCCGCACCCGCAGATAGTCCGCACAGGGTAAAATTTCAACTTTTAAAAAGGTAAATTCCGCGGATTATAGTCCGGAAAATACGGCAATTACCGGCTGGCGAACTGGAATGGTTATAATAAAAGATAAATAAAAAAATCGCCCATGTATTGTTTTGTCTGTTTTTTAGCGGTTGAAAACATTAGGCACCAAAAAGGCTACGTTAGTAAACATGACACTACGGATTGGTTTTCAACGCGTCCTACAGCGTTCGTATTAAAAGGATGCGCTCAAAATAATATTTAAAAAAAGTCGGCTTGTTTATTTGCGTTCACAGCCAGTTTGGCCCATTAAAAAAGTAACTTGTCTTGCTCAACTGAACAATACTGCGTTTGTTTGAAACGTGCAGTGCTCACCATGTTTTTAAAGTCTCGGCGCAAGCTAGCTAAAAAGAACACCATGCCTGCATTTTTTTTCTTGTTTTTTGCAGTGAGAACGAAATGAAAGCGGTGCTTTTTCCAACTCATTTTATTTCCAAAGATGTAACACACTACACAGTGACATACTTTTTATTAATGTCAAGTTTCCATACACACTGCTCTTCATCGCCACCCGACGTGCAATTGAGAATCACGCCTGTTAATTCTAGGAAGTTACACTTATTGCCCTGTTAGTGTGGTATTACAGGTTATCGGATTGTAAGCTCGAAATACGGGCACTCCACAGGTTATCATGAAGGCGAGAACGCAGTCGAGGGAAATCTGTTTCCATGCGATCCCTTGGAACCATCTTTCAATGTCATCTTGTACGTAATCGTTTAGAATTTCTTCATCATCTTTCGTCAAAATGCAGTTTTTCTCGAATCCCAATATGTCCTTATTTTGCTCCGCCAGTTCCTTTACTTTATTTTCAATCTGATCTTCCACGTCCTCCACTATTCTTTTCAAATCAGTTTTTCGCAGCCACAAGTCGCATCCTATAAAATCGACCAGATACCAATTAATCGAGAACATCGTACAGACAGTTTTGGGCGACTGTGAAAGTACTTAAACGTTGCAAAGCAAGTGACTACCAATTCAGGTTTCAGGTTTTATTGTGCGTAGATCAGAGGTAAATACATTAGAAATATTACAGAACAATAAAAACAAAAATCAGTTGCGGCGCGGAGAGCGGGTGTAAGTCAACTCTATAAAATAAAAATTTCAGTTGTCAGTCAGCGCTTGTCGTGTGTACTACTCTTGTGCCTCTCTGTTTTTGGTGCTGTTTTTTTTCGAGTTTTTTTTTTGCTCTTGTTAATTCCGTCGTCACACAAGCAGTTACTAAGCTAAACAAAGTTTAGATGGGCATAGTGTTTTCTGTTATGTCTTTAAACCCCAGACCCGAGCCGTTTCACCACACGCCAATAAAGTAACAAAATACGAATATCTCATTGAATGGGTGTAGATTTTTTCTTGAAAGAGAGATGCAAAAGTAGACTTTGAATATTTTTGTTTTGTAGTTAAAGCTCAGCTGATTATTCTTACACTGCGTTCCGTAACTGTCCCTGTTATGTTTTTAAACCTTATATGTTTAGGTATTCTTTAGATATTTATTTGTATTGTGTCCAGAGACAACCCAGGCCTTAGTTTTGGTACACACTCATACACACATGCACGTGCATGAGAAAAAAACAAAAAATAAAAAAAAAACTGACAGAAAAGCCGAACACTGATATTATCCAATGTGGATGATTTCTATACTTTTCCGATCCAACTTACTCCCAAAAATGTCAACCACCGCACTCCGTGCATTCAAATATCTTTAAATTAGTAAAATGTGGGCAATTAACACATGTCTTGCACGTAAAAAGTGTTGTGGTGACGACAATTCACGGGAGGTACATCTAAAAAAAGCAAAGAAACAAGTTTGGGGCAACGTATTCTGCTATGTGCAGTTTTAGACAAAAATACATAATCTCGAGAATTCCGGCGCCAGTATTGGCTAGTTTAGCCGAAATAACATTGACTCGTAGATACAAAAGAACCGGGTGCCGTAATAACAGTCGTATTCTATACGTGCCCACTTTCTCTGCACATGTTCTAGGCTAGCAGGGCTGGTCAGTCCCAGACAGTTCGAAAATACAGAGACAAACTCTAGTTTCGATTGAACAACATATGCATAAAGCCGGACGAGGCATAAAGTCTCTTTGAAATGACGGATTATAGCAAACACGAACCTAAAAGGCACAATCAAAAACTAAGGAAATTTGACATATGATATAACTAAGGAATGATCAATATAATCTGCTAAGTCATGTACGCAATATTCACGTCGCAGCAGTTGATTGTCTTGTTTATACAAAAAATTAAACGCACACTTCTTGCGTGATTAAAAAGAGACGCGTTTTTTACTGTTTAGACGTATTTTTGTTGCGCACCATATGATGAGATCTCAGATATGTCCTGCAGCAGTTCACAATCAACATGTGATCTTGCTTCGTTTGAAGATCGTAATATAATCATGGAACTGAAGCAAATTCTGATGTTTTACACAAAGAGAGACATCATTGGGAAAATGTTAAACGGCAAGTGTCCTGGAATAGAACAATGAGGAACGCGAGATGATATCTGTGATCTAGATAACACACCGTTAACACGAGCGTTGTTGATGCGCCAGAAAAGATATGATGAAACCACGAGCATAATAGCAAACGCACCTCATATTCCGATAGCTTGTGCACACATAGGTCATGGTGCAAAATGCCAATTGCTTTGGTTAAGTCAAAATAAATCTCGTCGACTTGCCCATAGTTGGCAAATAATATGGCCAATATCACTCAGCCTGCTAAGTTAATTTCAACACTTTCAGACTTAACGAAACCTTTTTGCAATTAAATTATTATTTATTTACAATAACTAGAAATCTGCACTTCTACCACGCTCTCAGACAGTTTGAGAATGTGGTAAATATACATGATGTTTCATTTTAATTTAATCATATACCAAAGGACATGAAAGGTACACTAATGCTGTTTGTGCGTACGTGTTTTAAAATCAGGGAGTCATATTATAGTGGGCTAACCGTCACGGTAAGTCGGACAGTTAACTAAAACTTGCTAGGTAACTTTTTAGTTAGTGAAAATAGACGTATGGTTCCAATTTAGAAACATGCTATGGGTCATTAGAGACTACTAAATTATAAAATTCTAGGACTTAATGCACATGTAAAGTGTGGAGGTACGCTAAAGTTAGCACTCGTGCAACAGGCACAAGGCTGGCCATACGAAAGGTGAATGACTATTATCCGCGCTAAGCCTAGGAACAAATTTTTGTATACATCGTTTCACCTTCGCCTGACAAAGAGCGAAAACTGCGGCTCCTTCGAGCTAACCAGAGTGACCATGGTGAAGCACGTGACAGCCCCTAACAAGGACAGACGGGAGAGAGCACAACCCGAGAAGTTCGAGAGGAGAAGAAGAAGGGACTTCCCTCTTAACCCGAACCCTGTTTTGTTTGTCCCAGACGTCGATGTTCTCCCCTCGTAGATTAGCCCGTCGCAAAAAATTAGTCCAAAAGCGGCTTCCCCTTCTCTCTTGCTCATGGCTTTGACAGTACTGCGTGCACATTGTGAGATAGATTATAGTCAAGTGTCTTGCTCTGACACGCTGATTCGTTATCTCGGAAAGTAGCCTTAGCCGTTTCCCAAATTATGGTGAGATAAGAATGGATGCAGCTGTTTTGGTCACCGGGAAGCTTAGATGGCCGATGGTGTTCTCTTCCTAAATTGAATCTTCATATTATCGCTGACGTGGGCTATTCACTTTTAGGTGTTTGCTGCACAAGCGATGCATAAAACATCTAGTATGTTGTTGTTGTTTTGTACTAGGGCCCATCTCTTATTCTCAATTATCTTGCAAGTTTCTTACTTAGCGCGAACTTACGTTGAAATTAAGTAGCGCTAGAATTCTGAATGTATTTGAAATCACACACGACACCAGCAGTATAAGACATTTCACTGCAGTCCTGCGAAGTCATCGTCTGCAATCGTATTTGAACCAATGTTGATTTTGCGCGATACTGAGCGATGTTTGGTGCACTCGTTTTAAGTTGAAACAAAAGTTTAGTACCGAGAGTACCCCAGTTCTGGTTAACATATACACATGGGCCTTTAAGGCATTGAAGATTACCAACGGGTTTAGACGCGACCTTCGTAAACTGAACATACCACAAAACGTAGAGGTGATCTTACACAGGTAGGACGCGTCTAGGCGCAAGTCTGAATATAAACATCGCAAACTAAATCCTTCGTAATACACCTTATGAACAGCTCGTTTTATTCAAGATTCCTGCGCTAAGCAACCTTAATTTGTGTGTTTTTTCTTCTGTTACAAAGCAAACTGTAGCTTCTCTACTTATTTAAATTAGCGAAATACAAGACGATGTGACTTTAATCTCGCTGAAGCTTTAACGAACTTACCTCCTTCGGCTGCGGGACTCCTAAGGATATAACATTGCGGCTCGTTGTATACGACATACATGTCAGCATAGTCACCACTTTCCGGAAAGGGGAGCAATCTATTTAGAACATTCTTCGTAGAATCAGCGTAGGCCCGTGCACTCAGATGAGGATTTACAGCATTTCCTGGTTGAGAAAATAATTTTCGTGATTCAAATTGAATATACCACCAACAGAAAGAAGCTCCACGCTTGTCGAGTATAAAACCTGAACTTACCCCTATCAGGAAAGGGAGTAGTTCTGGAATAGCAGGTGTAGTTGTCATACTCAGCGTACGTGTAGCTTCCTGGGGGAACCGGAGTAGCATTTGGTAGTTTTCCTGATTTTGGGGTACAAAAGCAAATTAACGCACTTTTAATATAGTTTAGACGATTAGGCAACTTAAATCTTCTCAGGTTGCACGCTAATCCTGACCTGACAGTGAAGCGAAGCAGTAAAGAAACTAATTACAACTATTTGAGTTACTGTAGTTAGTTACATTTCTTTAACTAAATACTTTTCAAGTTACAATAAAAGTTTAATAACAACATCATGTAAACTAACGCTTTTAAGGAAATCTAGACCGCATGCATAAATTGGTTTCTCAACGTGTCGCGCTGCGACTTCCTACAGAGGTGCAAACAGGTGGTGGAGTTTTACAGCGAAAAACAAAAAAACAAGAAATGATCCTACCTCGTTTAAAAGGAAGAGCAAAATCTGTTCTGGGCAATCTAAGTTGTCACTTAGCAAACAATGCGCGCGTAGAGAGATGTGCTCACAGATGGCGTACGGCGCGCCTGGGGAGCACCGGCCGATTCGAGTTCTTTCGCGAGATTATCTGCTATCAATCACCGGCAGGCGCTCCCTCGACGCGGCGTACGCCATCTGTGACACATCTCTCTACGTGCGCATTGTCTCTGAAGTTTCGGCGTAGATTGACCAGGACCGGTTTTAGAGCGCAGCTCTCAGGCGCCCGTTTCCCCGTATAGTGGCGTCGCCGTCGGTGTCACCGTGAGTGTAACAGCACCGCTATATATAGCGGGAAATTGAATTGGTGTTGAGGTCAGTAAGGTCAGTTTTCCCGCTAAATCTAGCGGAGAAAATGAATTTGTTTATGGGTGACGTGACAAAAAGTCATGTAACGTCATTTTTCCAGCTAAATTCAGCGGAGAAACTGTGGGTGGAGGGGAGGGTATAAAGGTGCAGGAGGGGAGGGTATAGAGGAGGAGGAGGGGAGGGCACAGAGGAGGAGGATGGGTGGGTACGCAGGAGAAGGAAGGGAGTAGAAAAAAGAGGAGGGGGGAAAGGAAGAGGGTCGATGAGGAGGAGAGGAGGAGGAGAGGAGGAAAAGGAGATAAGGAGGACGGAAGGAGAAAAGGAGGAGGGGAGGGTACGGGGGAGGAGAGGCATACCCTCCGCTTCGTACCCTCTCGTCCGCCCTTTCAAGAGCTGCGCTCTAATTTCGCGTTAGAGATTTGTAAACGTCTTTCATTTTTTTTTTTTCTTTTGAATGAGGTAAGTTCGTTCCTTGATTTGTTTTCACTACATGGTTCCACCTTTCTTGTAAATCGATGTACGATACATTGATAAACTGATTTTTCGGAACGTCTAAAGTGCATTAAAAGCGTTAGTTTACATACGGTATAAATGCAACTTAGTAATTTTTTGTGACTTGTAACTTGGCTTAGTTACTGTTACTTTCCGAATTTTCACTTCTGTGCATCATCTCCCACCACTTCAAATTAATGGAAGCACCTGTCGATGAAATTCTTTTAATCATTACTGTGTTGACCTTTCATGACGCTAGAATTTGTTAATTTTGAGCCTGACTTGATTGAAAATGCTAATAAATAAACATTGCGGAGCGGCAAGAGCAGCACTTTTGGAATTGAAGCAAACGGTTAACACCTTTCGCAGTTAAACTCATGAGACGATCGTCTGAAACAGGCTAACATATGACCGCAATGTAGTAAATAACGCCAGTACGATTATGGTGAATGTAAACTGCTAAAACTTTTTCGCTGCACGTGTCCTCCAGCGCATAACAAAATGACAGAGTATCTCGATCCAAATGGAACGGGTCTGAACAAAGTTTAATGCAAGGGTGCAGGCGAGCTGTTAAAGAACTGACGCGTTTAACCCTGTAAAGTAGGAAAACAGAGGGATAGGACAACACGACTGTCCAAACACAGCTGAGGTTTATTTTGCGAAACACAACCCTGAATAAGCAACCCCCCCCCCCCCCCCAAACAAAAAAAAAAAAAAAACGGACAGATTAAAGGAAGACATTAGAGGACAGCGATGACTTCACGCATACCCAACCAAGATATACGTATCCATGGTACATATCAACGCCCAAGCAAAATCGCCCAGCAAAGAAATGATGCATCGCTTCGTGATACGAACATAAAAAAAACTGAGGACCAAGTCAAAGGAAAACACCGAGCGATCACTAAACAACAAAAGTAATGAGGTCAACCAACTTCTAACAGAGCCACAGAAAAGAAAAGGTCTTAGATTAAAAAACGCTTTCATGCTAATGTCGAGAGAAATGAACTTTTTGCTAAAACAACCAGCGGGCCTATCCACCATCAACGACTCTTTCAGTGAACGTTTATAACAAACCCTTTCCCTGTAGTGCTCTTCGCTATTTTTTCGAACAACGACACATTTGCTACGTGAAGAGAGATGATTTGCTAATTCGGAACCCACGGATTTGTGCTTCACCGGTCGTTTGCGTTCAGTTGAATTGTCATTAACACATCTAGCCGTCTGACCCACATAGCAAGAACCAAATTTCACAGACATTTTGCACAAAACGCCCAGATTCGAATCCGCAAGAGGACCTCTGATTTTTGTTACAACCTGCCTTCTGTGACGAAGAAGATGAAAGCCGGTCGAGCCGAAAATCGGGTTGAAAAACAGCTGACACACGAAATTTCTTCACTAGCGCATTAAGGTTATGGGAGATATTATTAAAATGAGGCAAACCAAAAAACCTACCGTAATATCCCTAGAGATATCCCACCTAAAGCCGAAAGCAAATCGGGTGAAATAAGGCGTGGGCTAACTTTAGATGTGCGAAAAAAACAAGTTAAAAAAATGCTAGTTTTAGATTTTGGAACCTACGAAACCTGTAATCACAATGGTAGATGACCCAAAAAGACAACTCTCCTTCCCAGTCAGCAATGTTCGGTTATATCTTGCCGTGGCTAAGTAACACAATTTCGGCGGAGGTCGTGACTGGCCAAGACCCTGCATTTACTTGAAGTAGCCTATATCTGAGTGATTTTGAAAATAAAAATAGCAAATCGTCGCGCAAAAAAAAAAAAAAAGTTCGAGGCGCATTGAAGTATTTCTTATGAGTTGTGAATGCGAAAGCATGCAAGCCGCTCGTCCGCTTCCTTTGTCGTCTACTCGTCCGTTCCATTTGTCGTCTGCGGTGCACACTAGCGCGCGGGCTTCGGGATCTCGGAGGTCATGAAGCACCGGCCAATGGGGGCCCTGTCGACGCGCGCCAGCCAATGGAACCGAAGGCGAATCACTTCTATGGGGATCGCGGAAACCAGGAGCCGTATTCGCGCTTCAAACTGATGACGTCAGCTCGCTCAAAGAGACAGTTAATGTTTTCGCATTAATAAGGGTGCCTTATCTTTCGTGGGTGGCGCATCTCTCGATATCTTGCGGTATTTTTTTCTACACCGACGTGTTTCGGTAAATTACAATTTTTCAGCAACCGATGGATGGCCGACGACACAAACTCTCTGCTGTTGTCCGCGAAGTGCAATCTACGAAACTGCTTTTGGAAACTTGCGCCCAAATGGTGAGTGCCAGAAAACTCTGTTGAGTTAATTATTACAATCTTAACAACTCCCCGTTTTACAATTTTAGAATGAAACCTTACCTCAGAGTGCAATCAATGGCTTCCCCGCTTTCTTACCCACTCTCCAGGGTTCAAAATGTCAGTTCAGAGCAGATACTTTTTTTAGAACTAAATGAAGCGTCGGTAATCAGGGCACCTATAGTCATCCGAGATGCGATAGTTTACAAGTAACTACAACGTGAAAAGGAGCCTCCGGTAAGCCTCAGCAGAGCGACAACCGACGTTTCATTAGGGGGCTTAGATCATTAAGGGTGTCTTGGTTTTGCTATGCTGCCTGGAGCGCGTCTCCGACTGGCGTGTTTAGCGTCCTATTCCGCCCGTACATCGAAAGTGGTATCGGAGTGGCAACACATGACGCCACAGAAGCCGGAGTGTCCTGCTGTCGGATGTCCCGATCCTTGCGGTTGATCGTAGAAACGCAGGCGAGAGGCACGTGCGAGCGCGAGTGCCTCTGTCGTCGCGGCGTCCCGACTCCTGGCTGTCGAAGTTTCCGTAAACTGGTGCGCTGGAGAGCGACCTGCAGCAGAACAGGCGTCCGCCACACCCAGCACTGCTGGTGGGACACCGCCAGGGCAGCGGCCGGCGACAGAGCGACAGTTGTATGACGTCATCAGGCGGAAATCTAGGGACATTATGTTTAGGACACGGTAAACACAGCATTTGGAGACGCGTTCCAAACACCGAGATGGCATTGGTTATCCTGCTGGAACGGTGAAGTAATTGCGATGTAACTTAGTTTTATTTTTTGGAAACTATAACGAGTTACAACTGTAAGTGTGTGATTGTAACTTAACTCCACTTCAGCTCAGGTAACTCTAACTTAATTAGTTTTCATGAGTAACTTTTACAGCTCTGCAGTGAAGCTATTTTGGTCGTTAGTGGCACCAATATAGGCTAATATTAGCAGGTACCACCAGGCGGTCGCGTTGACAGCGGAGGGGCTTATGGGGCTTCAGCTTCCCGTCCTCCCCACCGTAACATTCGTCCGACCTATAGACCTTTCCAGCGGCAGTCTCGAACGAAGCGATTTACAGCGCGCGTCCCTGGTTTTGAGGGGGTACGTCAGTGTTGCTCGACTGCGCTGGGCTCTGGGTTCTTCTAGTCAGTGAGCTATGGCAGCCTGCGTAGGCGTACTTACGGACGTTGATGGAGGCTGAATTGCCGCGTTTTATTTTTTATTTTGTGTCTATGGCGAATAGAATTTGTTGGGGTTTTTAGGAATGCATCGTACTATTTAAGTGGAAAAAAATGAAGGCTGTCTTGGTGAGTCCGTGCTCGACAAAACAAATGCAACTGTAATGTTTGTTTCATATTATGTTAATTTTTTGTGGCACCATACACTCAGCCGTGTCAATCTACAAAGGTCTTAACCGTCGAAAATATTTGACCACAGTATATCCCAACTGCATTGATATTGCCCACCCACACTATGAAATTCAACGAGTCTCATTAATCGAACATCATAAATTGTACGTACCCCATGGTGGCGCGTTATCCGAACATGATTTGAAACAGGTCTCAAGTAACACAACATATCCAATATAGACCTTTGCAAAAAAAGCTCTCTGGCCGCCGCCATTTTGCGAAACGAGCGACCCCTATCAGCCACTAATTTCTGCCACCCGCCTGTGCTGTGAAAACCCGGTCAGCGTGACTCCCCACCTGCATTGTGCATTCGGAATTCGCCGGCTTTTCTTGGAAGTTTTTACTTTATTTGCCTGTTTGGGAAGCTTACACTTTGTGTGTTATTTTCCACTGTGAGAACCAAGAAATACCAAGGCTCGTAGCTTGCTCGGCCTTCGCAGGAAACGAACCAAGAAAGCGAATGTCAAGCAGCCCGCGACGCAGGCAGTTCAACGTTCTTGGAGGATTATTTCTGTTGAGATAATCTCCAAAAAACTTTCCCGGCTATGTTCCGGGTATTCGTGAAAAATAGGTGATAGGGTCGAGTCCTCGGTGTGGGGACGAAATAGACACGTTCGTTCTTTAGCTTTGCAGCTGTGCGAAAATAGAAGCTATCTTCTACATGTGCCCCAAAACACGCCGGATTCCCTTCGATCGTCGTGAAGTGACAATAGGCTCCTACACTGACGTCACATCGCATACTTTTGAACACCATGTACAAGGAGGAGAGGGAAGCTGCTTTTGTAAAAATTTCGAGTGACGGGTAATTCTTCTATAATCTTCTGGGAGGAGAATAGCGACGCCTGTGTAAATCCGGGAGGCACAAAGGAGGATCCTGATAAGGGGGGCTCCTTCTTCCCCTTTTCTCTGGGGGGGCATCGAAAATGACGTCATGTGCAAGCCACGTAAAGTCGACACTGTATATTGATATTGTATGTTATTTTAGAGCTTTCTCAAATCCTGTTGGGATAACGCGGCAACGTGGGGTACATACAATATATGTTGTTCGATTGATGAGACTCGCTGAATTTCATGTTGTGTGTAGTTCCATGCAGTTCGAATATCCTGTGTGGTCAACTATTTCAGACGGCTAAGACCTTCGTACATTCACACGGCTGAGTGTATGGTGACGTAGAATGATTAACAAAATCTAAAACAAACATTATTGTTGCCTTTCTTCTGTCGCGCACGGACTCACCAAAACAGCTATCATTTCTTTGTTTTTGTTCCCAAAAATAGTAAAATGCATTCTTAAAAACACCGAAAAAATTATATTCGCCATAGAACACAAAATAAAAAATAGAACGCGGCAATTTATCTTCCACCAGCGTCCGGAAGGGCGCCTGCGCAGGCCGCCACAGCTCAGTGACGGGAAAATTCGCAGCCCAGCGCAGTCGGGCAACACTGACGTACACTCTCAGAACCAGGGACGCGCGCTGTAAATCGCTTCGTTCAAGACTGCCGCTGGAAAGGTCTATCCGCAATGGCGCCGCCGTCGCCACGCCAATAAAAGGAATTTAGGATGCGTAACCGTCACACATTCTCGTTTTGCCTTCCCTCTGTTTTTTCACTATTTACAGGTTGGAGCGTTTTATTTTTGTTTCGTCGCCGAAACCGGATACGCCTAATAGGTGGTTGGGGACGAGAGTACACGATAAAGGTCTATAGTCCCTTCACAATGATCGGACGGAATCCGGCGTGTTTTGGGACACGTTTTGACGACGGCTGTTTTTTTGGACAGCTTCAAAGCAAATGAGCGTACGTGTCTATTCCATCGCCACACCCCGGGCCTAACCCGATCAGCTATTTTTCGCCAAACCAAGAACATTGCCGGGAAGGCTTTTCGGAGATTATCTCTATGGAAATAATCCTCCAAGAACGTTGAACTGCCTGCGTCGCGTGCTGCTTGATGTTCGCTCACTTCGTTCGCTTCCTGCGATGGCCGTTCAGGCAACAAACGCTGCTATGCCCCTGTTCTCGCAGTGGAAGCTAACACACAAAGGGTAAGCATCCTAAACAGGCGAATAAAGTAAAAACTTCCAAGAAAAGCTAGTGAACTCCGAATGCACAATGCAGGTGGGGAGCCACGCTGACCGGGTTTCCACAGCTCAGGCGGGTGGCAGAAATGTCTGGCCTATAGGGGTCGCTCGGTTCGTAAAGTGGCGGCGGCCAGAGAGCTCTTTTTGCGAAGAATCCACTAGGAAGAGAGGAGAGAGAAAAAAATGGCCCTCCCCCTCTTTCCCCGCTCGTCGTCTGCTCGGCCGAGTGGGCTGTACCTCACAATCGGCTGGCGTTAAAATTCGGTTTAAAATCGTGTCATTTTGGAAATCTCAAGCGCAGATGCGCGGATTTTGATATGCAAGCTATCGTGTAATGCTACGCTTCATAAGAAGACTAACCGGGACCGATTCCGCTGTTACCTGGGTGGAAATAAAACAAGAAATAGAAACATTGTGTCAGATTGGCCGGTCCTCCGGCGAAAAGTAAATCCGGTTGCTATAGTTTTTTGACTATACGAAGTTCGTACTGGTGTAGGCCGTTAGCGACAATGAATGGAAGTGTGGATTAAGAAATGAAAACGTGCTCTCCTGACGCAATAAACGCAGTGGTTGAAGGGAGTACTGCCGGCTGACTCGACTGCTATCGAAGTAACGTAACAAAGATACGCTAAATGATCCTGAAATAAAACAACAGAGCGCTTTAGGCTGATTTTGTAGTAGCCATAAATATTCTAAAAAACGCGAACCACGTCACAACGGCAGCCACGAGCGAGAGTTCGATGTTCGGTACAGCCCGTCGCTACAGCCAAAAGATGGAGAGCGGCAATCTCCCGGTTTGTCGCCTACTAGCGGAATGGGCGCGTGCCCTCTCTCTCGTTTTACCCCGCCGAACCTGCTGAACTTCCCGGATGTGGGTAGAGGGCGCTGCGCTCGAACAAAATGGCGCCGCCCTGGGAGCGCTCACCGGAATAAATGAAATGGTCTATATATATTATACACACATATTTTGACCTCCTCCTCAATCCCCGACCCCCCGCACCCCAAGTCATGGATATCCAAGCCATCTCAGCACCCCTCAGAAAAACCTATCTGGCTAGGCTACTGCTACCAAATGCATATCTGGCCACTTCAAAGTCACAACCGTGCCTGCTTGTGGGGACTGAGTGCAAACTCGCATTGATTGCCTTTATATAACACCACGTTTGCTTCAACAACCTGCCTAATATTTGGAGCACTCTTTTTCTCAGTAGAAATCCTCAATCGGCTAAGTTTCTGACCGTACTGCCACCAATATTGAGGATCAAGTTTTCCAAGCTTGTATTAGCAAAGAGAGCTTTTCGAGTTTTTTTTATTGATTAATTTGTAAAACTTATTTCCTTAGGATCCACCACTGAAAGTATCTCCTAAACAATGAACGCTAGCTTTCCTCTCATGGTAGCTGGAGCTTCAGTATCTTAGAGTTAACCTGAAAACCTTGATAGATCATCTCTTGCGCGGGAGTTAATCAGGACTCGACATGGTTTACGACGGCCTTAAGACATTGCCTGAACATTGCAACAATGCAGCTAACCTGTTTAAATGTAGCCTACACAATCCGACAATGAGAGAATGTGGGCACGATGGCGGGGCAATATTTGTAATATTGGCCAGTCAAAGTAAGCAGGTTTCAATATTTACTCAGTCTGGTTTATTTTGTAAAATCCGGTTCGTCACCCAACTTAACATTTTAGATCTTATATGTATATATATATATATTAGAAAGGCGAAGACGACGACGGGGCAGTGACGCGTACGACCGTCTGCCCCCACGGGCCAGCTGGGCCTCCATAAATCGTATGTTTGTTCTATCATCGTGTACTGTACTGTCCTTTCTGCTGCCGGCAGCATCACCCTAAGAGTATGATGGACGTGCGGAGCCATACTCATCTTTTACATTGTACATCGGCGCCGCTATGATCCTTTCAACCCACCTCTTTGAGGCAGCCATACGCAGCACCAGACCAAGCACCAGCCGAAGGATTCGTCGCCCAGCTACCGCCCAGGCGCCATGACAAGCCGAATCAGACGAAGCCGGATCAGACATAGCCGCATCAGACGAAGGCGACAGACTATCCCCCGCCCCTATCCCCAGCACCCGACGTTCTGACGCTTCTCAGTGACGCGAGTCCCCCAGACCGGACCGTGCCGTCGTGTGGCTGGTGCAGAGGTCTGTGACGCTGCGGAAGAGGCCGAAATTCCACGTCGCCATCTTCATCCCCTATATATGTATATAATAAACTCCTTGCATAGTACCTCCACAAGTACGGATCTTTCACTTATATATATATATATATATATATATATATATATATATATATATATCTTTTAAAAACAAAATGCGTTTTTTTTTTCTTATTTTTACTGTGGTGACCTTTGAACTTATACTCATTTTTTGTCTACTCTTCTTGCCCAATAAATAATATTTTTAATTCACGCTTGAAATAAACACAGAACAAGGGCGTACATTCACATGGTGAGGCTATCTGCCGTTTTAAATGTCGCATTTTTAACTATAGAACTTTGTGCACCTCAGCCCGACGTGTCGCGCAAAAAACCTCTAGACTTCATATATATATATATATATACTCAGGCCGAAACGTCGACTCACTAAACGCTTTAAAACTCCAACAACGTTTCGAGGTGCGACTTCATTACTTTATAGTCTTCGGCATCCTACGCCATATTTTCTTTATATATATAGATGTATATATATATATAAAGAAATATATATATATATATATATAAAGAGTGACGAATGTTGACAAATGCTTCCGTTGATATATGGGCAAAAGTGATGTGCGCAGACACAGCAGCCGTAGGATGAAGAGTACAATTCTAATTTAATGGCGAAAAAAGTCACGCAAGAAACATGGGTGAAGTGCCGAAAAAAAGTTGTATTAGTTTACGGGAATAATGAAGACTAGGCACAAGAACGCTAATTACGCGGGAAAGAAACTTCTAAACAGGGCGGAGTAAAAGTCAAAGTTAACACACAAGAACTTACAAAAATAAATTGTTAAATGAAAAATAAAATAAATAATTGAAAATAAAAAATGGATAAAACTTTTGCATATATATATATATATATATATATATAACGGGCATGGTGGCGGGAGGCCGAAGGCGTGGGTATAAAACTGAGTGCATATATATATATACGTGCATATATCTATATATATGCACGCCGGGCTAAGGTGCACAAAGTTCTATTGTTAAAAATACGGCATTTAAAACGACAGATAGCCTCACCATATGAATGTACGTCGTTGTTCTGTGTTTATTTCTAGAGGGAATTAAAACTATTATTTATTGGGCAGAAGAGTAGAAAGAAACGAGTATAAGTTCAAAGGTCACCACAGTAAAAATCAAACAAAAAAAAATCGCATTTCTTTTTCAGAAGATCCGCTGCTTTTCTCTGGACAACGTGGCATCTCAAGCCACGAATATATAAGTATATATTTAGACGGACGTTAAAATGTTCGAATGCGAGACTTTGGAGGGCATTCACCACCGCTAAGAAGCTTGAAAACAAATAAACTAGTAGATGAGTGATTTCTGGATCCCATTGTTTTATGCCAAAACGAAACGACAGACTTCCCGATGCATTCGTTTATATCTGCCACTTATCTATTTGTGCGAGCTGTGTCAAAAAAGAAAACTAGATTTGTCATTAATGAGATGAAAATTCCGAATCTAATTAATGGCTTTGGAATTTCATTTTTTTGGAAAACGGTTTTTTAAATGCTATATTCATGCTTACTAACTTCGAAATAATTGTTTTCAGGAACGTACGTTTACATAGATTGAGGATTTATCTAGAAAACATATTTTCGGCATGTCGGCAGCCCTCCAAAGCAGCAGGAAAGAAATTTGCATTCTTTTAATCAGGCCTGTTTCGTTTTTGTGCAACACCCTCCTTGGAAGCGCCTCTTTCTTTAAATCTAGCCTGTCGCAGCCTCCCAAGTTTAAAAGAATCAAGGAATCAAAGGACAACCCCATAAATACAAACAGACAAAATGTAAAACATATTGTATGAACAATCTTACTGGTTGAGACCCATGATAGGGTTCACGACTGGTCCTGCCCGGTGACGTGATAGTTTGTTATCTTCAGCAGTGACTTTTTGACAGTATCTTCCAATTCAGATCAGATTGCTACTTTGCTGTTTTTTGGTATCATTGGTATCATTTGCCTCATGGTTCTTGGTAGTTTATCTGTAGAGGAATGCCTGCTACCGAAAAATAGTTTGCTCACAAACGACGCAAGCTGGTAGTTAATTCCATGGGGACAATGAATTTTCAAAAAGGAAGGTGCTTTCGATGCTTCAGGTGAATTTTCTATGCCTCAGACTTAGAAAATAGAGAAACCTGAAGTTGAAACTTCAAATGCATTTTTCTCAGTTCCACTTTTTAGCAGGAAGTATGGTAGGATGAAATGCATCAGTTGACGTTCTGATAGCGTAAAAACTAAATGCAGGATTGTCCTGAACTGAAATTTCATAAAAAACCAAAACAAAATAAAATACTAAGTCTAAAAAAAAAAACAGAAAAAACTCGCTCTTTTATGATAAAACTTTTGTGACTTTTTTAATTTCTGGGTGTTTTTGTTGTCTTTTTCTCTTCTAGAATTGACTTTTCTACAATTTGTACCTTAACTTGTACTAGGACACTCTATTTCACATTCAAACACACTATATTCGGATTGAAATGATCTTTTTAAACATTTTCTGATGATGTTACATCTTTCCTGTAACTTGAGAAGCGTAGGATGCTGTTTAATTGGTCTATTAGGCTGAAACTTCGGAATTTATAATTCCCAATAGGGCATAATTCGTCCTAAAGATTTGAATAAATTTGAATAAGGGTTTAACGGTTAACCCTCTCAGGTTATATCCCCCCCCCCCCCCCTTTTTCGAAGCATGGCTTGAGTATATACATACCTTTGAGGTTTACCCTTATAACGTTTTCAAGCGGGTAGTCAGTTTGATTCAGAGCTCTCACTTGTATTGTCATATTCTCGCTGAAATTAAAATAATTTACGAGCAAGTTAGTTGTAGAACATATGCGCCGTGGGAGAAGGAGACGAGAGCGTGCGGGGACGTCAGAACTCCGAGCTCTGATTGGAAGGATTAGTGGGTAGACCTAAAGCAAGCTGACTTTGTCTAACGTAGTAGATTGCGTAAGCTGCTTTCTTCGGACGCTCTTTCATGAGTACTTTTTAACGAACACCTGCATCTTCCATGCAGGAAAGTTTTCTGGAATGCTAAAGTAAAGGGGAAGCGAACGCAGTAGAGGTTTGTTTGGGAAATGTCGGAAGGAATTTACGAACGCAATTTCGAAAATGTGCACATCGTCCGTATCAACAATGTTCAGGGTCTGGAGAGAGGGAAATGTGTTAGTTAGTAACGGTGACTTTCAATACGTGTAAGGACTTCGATAAGTTGAAGCGGTTGCTCGTTGCACCCTACAACTCAATTCCTGTTCTGTACGTTAACATTAGAAGTTTGAGAAAGTACTGGGAGTGTCGTAAAGTGATTGTTAATGAAGTTTTGCTTCGCATTAACGTTCTTGTTTTAACGGAATCCAACGAACCCTAAGCTTTGTGGGATATTTACCAGTTATTGGGTTACAATTCGTTTTTGTTTTCTCGTAAGTATTCAATTAGAGGGGGGTTGGTAGTATATGCGAAAAGTGAATAAGTATGCCTCAAGTCAGGAAGTAACTTTTTCTTACGCAGAATGTATTTCCTTAAAAATTGAGACCTCATTCCACTCTCTTTGTCTTTTCGTACGCTATAGATCTCCTTCTAAAAGATACGGGCAATGTCTTCACGAGCTCACAGTGACAAGTTGGCACGACCTGCAGTCTAGTATTATTTTGCATCGTACAAGATATGAACATAGATTTGCTATAAGATTAAACATCCGATGTTTGCTACTACCCTTACGCTTGCTGGTGTAGGTTTTGAAAGCGTTTTCAGTGCACCAACCATATAAGAGGTGGTGGGCGGTATAGTGGTCTCTTCGAGCATTTACCATATTTGTGTCAGGACGTTAGAAGCCACATTGAAATCGGCAGTAATTTCGCAAAAAAATGGCCGACCATTTTTTTGTTGGGTGTCACATGGTATGGCAGTCTGTCCCGGCAGCGGCTGCGAAAAGTGATCGACAAATCGTTCAAATCTTCGATAAAAGGATGTTGGACAGATTGGCTTTGTCATATGTTTGGAGCTCTTTTCTCCAAGGGACATCGCACTCTGATGTTTACTCAACATTTGTTCAAGTCCACGACTCTTCCAAGGCGAAAGCACAGCGCAACGTTTAGCGAAAAAAACAAAACAAAAAAAAACGAAGGCCAGATTACGTTAGCTAAATACTCATATATTAGCTTCCAACCCTCATAAAGGTTTTTGGTGCGTTGTACGCGAGCTCCTCGAGATCTCCAGTTGCGCGCGGAATTTCATGCAGCGAGGAACGAGGTCACTAGGCAGTTGTAGTAGATCGTTTTTCTCCTCCGCTACGGTATCTGTAAAGAAAACGCCGCAGCTGCGGATGCGCGCTGCCAGCCTTCTCAGCATAGTTCAAGGTCTTATGGCGGATTACGGATCGCTATCCAGGTGCTTTGCGGGCTGTGGGAACTTTATTTAAGCCCTTACAAAACATGAATGGAGTTTCAATTGAAAGTGTAAAAGACTCACTGAATAAACCGCATTCAGCCTCAATTGAAACTCTCTTCACTTTTTCTAATGAGTGCCTATTGAACCGTAACACGGTATTGGCCACTGAGTCTTAATTGAATCTTAGCAATTGCATTTCAAATGAATTTTGGCAGTAGTGTTTCAATACAAGTTTTGCTATTGAGATTCAATGAAAATATTGCAATTGAGTTTCAATTGAATTTTTGCAACGTGTTTCAATAGAATTTCTTGCAACTGCGTTAGAAAAATTGCAACGGTTGAGAATTTTTTGTATAATTCTTTAAAGCATGCAACATGAAGGAAACAAAGCATATGGAAGAAACGAACACAAACATGATAACTAAGCACTCACAACCCACTAATCGTGCTCCCCTTGGCTACCCCACCGCCTCATATACCCTACATAAGAAAGGTATTCATTATGCCGGTGACCACCTCAGCATTTATTAAGGTTTCCAGTCTGCTATTTCCTCCTTGGAAGTTTCATAAATGATAAACAGTGTTTAGAAGACATTGGACTCTATCACTGGATAGAAAAACATTGGTACAAGCAATAATCGTTCAATGCAGTAATCCACAAACGACCAAACTCAATTGCATTCCTGTAAATTCAATAGAATCGATATTGAGTTTCTTGCGACCGAACTCAATTGCAATCCTAATGAGTAAATACAAAAGAATACATATTGCATTTCTAATGAACAATCCCAATTTCATTCTTAATGAGCAGTTTCAAAAGAATATATATTGAGATGTTAAGGACCAAACTCAATTGCATTTCTAATGAGTAAATTCAATAGAATCGATATTGAGTTTATTATTACCAAAGTCAATTGCATTCCTAATGAGTAAGTTCAATAGGATCGATATTCAGTTCTTAATGACCAAACTCAATTGCATTCCTAATGAGTAAATTCAACAGAATCCATATTGACTGTCTTATGATAAAACACTATTGCATCCCTAATGAGTAAATTCATTAGAATTGATATTGGTTTTCTAATGATCAAACTCAATTGCATTCCTAACGAGTAAATTCAATAGAATCAAAATTCAGTTTCTAATGACCAAACTCATTAGACATTAAGTTTATATTGAGTTTCAATTGACTCTATAGGAACACAATAGGAAGTCAATTGAAACTCATTGATCATTTCTGTATGGGGAAAAAAGGTTCTCAGAAAATCATTCTAATATTTCACAAACTTGGTCCCTTGTGAAAGGTCTGAGAGGTCACTACAGCTAGCGCTCAATTGGTGACGTCATATTAAAAAAAAAATTTTCGGCAGTAGTAAGGAGACTGCGGGAACGCTTAACACGTTCTTCGCCACTTCAGACAAATTACCCAGTGGCTGTGTTTAGGAAGTACCATTGAAAGATACAAATTGCCCGTCTGCTTTTCTCCATGATACAGATAAAAACGCTTAGGAGTCGTCTCTGTTTAGTATGAAGTGGATTAAGTGACCTGGAGCCGATGGAATTACCTTTGGTTTTCTCCATATTAACTTTACATCTTTAAAACACGTGCACCGTTTTATGACTAACGGTTTCATAAAGACACGTTAGATTAAGAAAGAGTCGAAAGTGGCTATTGCTTGACCCATTTTTAAGGGCGGAAACCAAATGTGATAGAGAATTACCGCCCCATATCAATATTGCCTGTCTTCGTATACCTGTTAGAAAAGAACCCATTTCTTGAGATGAGCAGTTTTTTGGGTAGCCACCTGATGACATCCAAATCGCAATACGGTTGTGCACCTGAGAAGGACACGCAACTGCTCTTAGACGACAATACCGATTATTTGAATGCAGCGTTTCAGGATGCTGCTTTGTGTGTGTGTGTGTGTGTGTGTGTGTGTGTGTGTGCGCGTGAGTGTGTGTGTGTGTGTGTGTGTGTGTGTGTGTGTGTGTGTGTGTGTGTGTGTGTGTGTGTGTGTGTGTGTGTGTGTGTGTGTGTGTGTGTGTGTGTGTGTGCATACCGTTAACCATTCAATTTTGCTGTGTAAATGGTTTAATTTTGGTCTTCGGGAGCTTTTCTTCCTTTTTAACTACTGGGCGTTTTCAGAAAAGATCGAACAAACATGTCCGGTGACCATTTTTAATTTCGATGAAAAAAATATATTTTGCTGGCTTCATGCCCAGAAGAACAAAACCAACCCTTGTTTTAAGAAAAAAGTTTTTGTCTTTGCGAAAAAAATTTGTAAGCACCCTCTCAGTCACGTGCGCGTTTTGCGTATCGCTCGATGTTGACATTTCGGGCGGTTTCTCCCAAAAAACTGCTCTGGCTACGGGTATAGAAATATTCACTGTCAAATTAGGCGTAAAAAGGATTGACAAAAAGTATTAATCCCCGAGTATTAGGGTAGTTATTTTGAGAAAAAAACAGCGCAATAACACTCTGGATTAAAGAATATTTTGCTCCGTATCTATAAAATCTAAGGTCTTAAACCTTTGCAAGTGTGTTGCTCTGTATATAGTTCATCGATTCGGGAAATATTGTTGTCCTTGGTAGCGGGAAGAATTTACAAGAATTGCTCACACAAAGGCATTTGCGTAAAAATGCATTATTTTGAAAATCATTTAGAAAAGATCAATCATATTCTTTAAACTCTCTGAAATTGAAGTTTATAATATGCACTAACAGAGTCTGCAAAAGTAATGCGGTATTTGTGTGGCTTTTAATTTATAAAGCGAGAAATATGGCCAAATCGACGCTAACGCGGTTGCCATAAATGAGGCGTGCACTTGCCCATTTTTCACAATTTCATTATTATTAAAAAAGCGTAAAACTGCTACGGGGTGGTCAGGAAAAGAGAAATTAACAGCACAGAGGTGGACGGTAGTTTGTAGGGAACATTTCGTGTATATTTTCGCACAACCGACCCAAAAATGCCCATGGGCCAAAACGATCGAGGTGCGCCACCCTGTAACATGCTTCGCGGTGCCTGTTTCAAAAGCCGGCGTATAGCGTCTCCGTTCACGCGGCGTGAAGGAAGCAACCGGAGCGACTTTGCAAACAGGTCAGCCTACAACCCTGGCGGTGACATGATGTAGGAGATAGGGCGCGGCAGAACCTGAACCTGCGCCGCCTGTGAGCGCCAATAGATCCTCCGCAGGGGAGGACCGCACACATACTACAAGCTGTTTTCACTGCTATGAACTGGTTTCTTGACAACTGTATCTAAGTGAACTCCTCAAAAACTAGTTTAGTATGCTTTATAAATTCTTTAAAACAAACTGTAACTAACATTCCTCTGTTAATTCATACCTCTGATTGTGCTTGTTGTTCCTGTACGGCGGTTTCTTATGTCAATTCAGTGAAATACCTTGGCGTTTATTTTGACAGCGACCTTCCTTGGAACACCCACCTGTCCTATATTTGTAGCAAACTCATAAGTGCTGCCTGGCTTTTGTACACCCGTAGATATCTTCAGCCGATCTTTGTGCGCAGAGATATTGCCAGCAGTCTTGCATACGCCGTTTTAAGATATGGAATGAGGTGTTTTTTTCAATTGCCCCATAAGGATGGCAAGTACGGATCAATAATATTCTACGGAATTTACTGAAGAGCGTGGCGTGTAACTGTGATTTCACAGAATGCGGAAATATTTTTCAGTGTCTTGGGTTACCTTTCTTTCAAAAGTTGTTCGTGAATTCAGCGATTTTGCGCCACTTTTGGATGAATGACTAAAAAAACAACATTCATGTCCTCTCGAGTTCTAAGAGAATGTCCTCTCAATATTTTGCCTCGTTCTTATACTTGCTACGGTCAGGCTACACGTGATATTTATGTCCCGAAAATATTTAATTCACTTCCTGGTGAGATTTTTACGGTTACGTCAAAAAAGCTACTAAAAATTCCTGATTGATTGGATTCTACATTAACTAATCGTTAATTTTTTCGTACCTTTAATTTGACAACCTTGTCGGAACCTTTTTGTTTTATCTCTATATATCTCTATAATGGTTCGTCCGGTTCACTGTGATTGACTATCTCTGTCCTTGGCATGTATATATCTCTATGTGTACTCTTTATGTATGTCTACATGTACCTGTACATATCTCTATAATGTTTCTACCGGTCCACTGTGATTGACGATCTCTATGCGTGCCATGAATAAAGTGACTGACTCCCCACGTCCCCCCCCCCCCCCCCCCCGGACAACTATGATTGATTATCTGTGTTAGTTTGTTAACTAAGTATGTATAGATTGAGTTACTGCCTCTTCCAGGCCTAGTCCCACAAGCCTACTTTGGCTTTGACGGGCCCGATAATATCGAAAACAACCACGAAAGCAGATTGATTACTGTTATTATTAATATTATTATTATTTAGCTGATGAGTGAAGTACTTACTATTGCCTTTTTTTCGTATCGTAACTCATTATTGTGTAATTTGCGGTTTTCTTCGTTTTGTCTGTGATATTTGCTGTTGTGGAGATACATTTATCAAAAACGGGAGCGTCGTTGCGAAACAACAAAAAGTACGTATTATTTGACGTTTCTTCTAGGACCTGCAATCATCAAAAAGAAACATTTATTATTTATTCAAATATTACGAGAAGACGCATGGCAGCGCCAACTAAATAGGGCACTTATATTCGTGCCACACGGGCAACTCGAATGCCATTTAGAACGAATGACATTCGTGTGATCGACGAATGGGCTCGCGATATGTCACGTGTGGAACGCCCCACGCTCGGGGTATCGCACGCTGATTGGCCGATCGGTCAAATGTCATTCGTTGTAAATTTTATTCGAGTTGTCCGTGTGGCACGGGTACTACTCAGATTTAAGCATTCGTTCCTGTCGACAGTAAAAATCAGGCATTGCCCCACTTTAAATCACAGCAATGTAATGGTGTTCGTCTAGAAGGAATGCATACCCATCAATGAAAGCTCATACACAAAGAACAAATCGAACGCTTGTATCACTAACATTGGTTTCAACACGAATACAACATAAATGTGCGCGTGCCATTACATTACTTGCAAGAGCGTATTTGTGCAACCGTACAGCATAACCTAATGATTACAGAGAACTAACACCTGCAAACGACGCAGGGAATTTTAAACATCTCTAGCACGCACATTTGTAGGTATGATATTTCTTTAGTACAAAATGCATACTCCAAAAATTAACTTGCGTATGGTTACCCCATGCTTTTAGTAAGCGATAGTTGAGGAGTCTCTACCGCTCCTTGGATTTATGTTTAATCATAGTTTAGTCATTTCTGCTTTCTTCGTTTTTTTATAATAAAGTGGTATGGTTTCTAAAAATGATCGGGCGATAATGTGCGGTACTTTTCGGTCTATAATCCGCAACCGGTGTATAGTCCGCAGAGGTTAATTTGGAGTCAAAATAAAAGATTTTTCTCAGATAGTCCTCAACGGGTGCATAGTCCGCACTTATTGCATAGTCCTTTCGGTTCAATTCCGGTTCATTTTCGGGGAGCAAAAATAAAAGTTCGAACCGGTTCGAACTGGTCTGAACCGCTAAATGGCGAATATATATTTCTGCATTGTTTCGGCAATAGGCACTCTTTGAACCGTGAAAACGAGTAACTATATCGTTTTCTTCTTATTATTATTCGTACTATTTACTTTTACTTACAAATATCAAAAATAAAACAAATTGCGATCTTTAATCTCGAGGAAACAGTAAATGAAAAGCCAAATTAACATTTAAAAACGTCGTGTTTAATCTTTTTGTCTAATTCAGTCGCATATATTTTACATGAATTGAAAGGTCAGCAGTCTGGTAGGTCGCCTAAAATACCCGGGATTGGTACAAATTTACGTCGCAGTATCAAAAGCTGAATCCTAGTTGTTCTCTTAAACTTAGGACTTAATTATAGTGCATAAAAGTAGGAAATGGGTACCCCCTCACCATATATGATGTGAAATCTAGTTTACGAAATGCGTTTCACAATATATTATGACGACGCGACTGAGCTAAAAGCAGCCCTATTTTTAAAATGCCACGCAAGTTTTAGGACAAGCCCTTTCATTCTACCTTTGTTGGAGACACTGAGCGGCATTCACAACGTTTGTTTTCCTGACCAACATTGTTTACAATCAGCACCGTGATGTAGGCTAATAATCATTCAGAAGAGAGTGATCAAAGTTGTTCACTCTTATCTATACGCACCTCCGTACTCAGATCCAATTTGTCCTAAAATAGCGCCTACCCACAAGAATATTTTCGACATATCCTGGCGTTTGAGGTTTGTTTTTGACAAGATGCCGGTCAATGCAATTTGCAAATAAGCATCACGTTTCCTAAAGTTGTTATTTATTGTTAAATAGATCAAAGTACTATTTCATACTTTTCTCGACATTGCAACTACTTAATTAGTCACTTTCTGACGGTCTGCGTGCGCAATAATCATAGTTTGTTTGAGGAACATATATGTCAGGAACAGATTTATGTGTCAGGAACACATTTATGAGTCGGAAACACGTAGTTATCTAAATCAACTTCAAATTCAGAAATTTGTTTAAGGCTCGATCAAAGCACTTATAGACGTGCATATCGGAGATAAAAACGCCGGAAAAGTCTTGCAGGGCATATTTCAGACAATTTGTGGTGCATTTACTTATGATGTATATCTTTAAGGCGATCGGCATTTATTTATGTTGGCAAATTTTCAGTCAGTAAATATATTAGTATTATTATCAATAAATTCGACTGCATGAAGTTCACATAACCACTTCAGACCGACATGAGAGGACGATACTCGAAAATACGCGATCTGTCGAGCCTTCGGAAACGGGCTTTTTTTGTTCGCTCTTTGGCAGTGAAAAACACCGGGCCGCGGGGTATGCCAAAAAGGACTCTGTGCTCACTAATGTTGCTGCTCACAAAATAGATCTGAAGGCAAATACACTAAATCTGGTGAAAAGGAGATAATAAATAGTAGGGCTGGGCATTTGATCGATTAACCTATCGATTAATCGATTAATGCTTTAATCGCGATTAATTTTTTTAACCGGCTAATCGGTAATATTTTAACGAACCAAAATAAAGTAAAAAGTAAACGCTTTCACCACGCAGACGTGGACGAGAACACCTCTATGAAGGGAAAACAAACTTTAGGTCAGAATTTAGCCTAAAGTAAACTGTAGGGGGAAGATTTCTAACTCCTGACAAGGTGCTGAAGGTTACACGTCTCCCGGCCACTTCAATAGCGTTTGAGTGTCCGTTTAGCGCAACAGAGAGAGACTATAGAGTGAAAAATCAAAGGAGGTCGCTCTTGCCGGATAATATCACCGAACCTTTTACCTCATGCAGCTGAAGTAATAATGTGTCAGTGCCTTCAAACTGTTCTTAACTACACATCAAGGTTGATTCATAATAAACCTTGTGTATTAGGCCCTTTACCTCATGTTCAGGAAAGGCAAAAACAGAAAACAAAATTAATTTCTGACTTTTTTAAAAATAGTATGCATGGAAATTAACGAGACCGATTAATCGATTAATTAATCGAATAAAGGGTGGCGATTAATCGGGTTAAAACTTTTAATCGACGCCCAGCCCTAATAAATAGTATTCTAAAAATTTCATACACAACGTCTTATTCCAAAAAGAAATGCATAGAGATGCATGAAATAATGTTCTTAATTACACATGGATAGCGCGAAGGGCTGACATATTTGTAACATAAATCTCATTTTAACATCGGTTTGCACGAGCTCGTAACTTCGAAAAGTACTGCCTTAGCAGGCTAATATTTTATTCGGTTTTACGTGCACTTGTTTTGGGCCCTCACTTAACAACGCTGTATTTTAGCAGTCAGGCGCACTCTATCTTTGTATTAGGCTGCCTCATATCATTGCGAGACCACTGTATATACTGCACAACTTTACAATTTGGACATTCACCTTTGCTAGTGTTGAGAACATCGCATTTCACCAGAAAACAGAACTGTTTAATAAGTGACTTGAAGACATCGCCATAAAATTATCGCGCAAAAGACTATAGTGCAGGAAGGAACAATGGAACAGGGCAGTCGCATTGTTTCTTCCTGTCCTCGTCTTTTGCGCTATAAATGTGTAACGAATAACCAAATTTGGTAATGAATTACCATATTTTACTTTTAATTATAAAGACGTCATCGTACTATGAGATGGTTGTCATTGCGATTTGCTCTCGCTGAGAAAATAAAATAGGGCAATGCAAAATGCTCGCTGCAGAAGGTTCGCGCTCAGTGCAAGATCATGTAATCGAGATACACAAATTATTCTTGCGTGGCGCTGCGTCGTGAGGATCGGCGAGAGCGTCTGGCAACACGAAAACGCGCTTTCGGACATTTCTTGCAGGAGTGGTTTTGCAAACAAAATAGTTTTCGGGATAACGCGCTCTGCTCTGTGCCGAAGATGCTGAGCAGAGAAAACTTTAGAACAAAGTATGCATTTAAGACTCCCTCCCCACATTTTTTTTTAGAACGCAGCTTTTAGGCGCTCGTTTCCGGGTTAAGCGGCGTATCTGTCGCTGTCGGCGTCGGAGTAAGCGCGCTAAATTTAGCGGTAAAATTGACGTCACATGACCTCAACACCGATTCAATTCCCCGGCATTCAGTTTCTCCGCTAGATTTAGAGGGAAAATTCAGTTTCTCCCTAGATTTAACACCAATTCAATTCCCCGCTAAAATTAGCGGGAAATCAAATTGGTGTTGAGGGCAGGTGACGTCAATTTGCTCGCTAAATCTAACGGAGAAACTGAATTTGTTCATAGGCGATGTGACACCAAGTCATGTGATGTCATTTTTCCCTTTAAATTTAGCGAGGAAACTGAATTGTAGGAGAAGAGGAGAGGAGGGAATGGGAGGAGGAGGAGGATGAGAGGAAGAGGAGAGGGTACGAAGGGGGAGGACGAGCATGCCTTCCCCTTCGTACCCTCCCTTCCTCCTCCTCAAGTCCTGCGCTCTAATTTCGCATCACAGAGATTTGTAATCCTCTTTCATCTTTTCTTCTTTCGATGGTCCTCCAGAGAATACTTTTTATTCCTGAGGGACTTCCTCCTCTGTATTACATTTGTGTCATTTGTTAACAGGGATCCTCCATTTCTTTTATTTAACTCCCCAAAACTGTGAAGTATATACAATATGTGGAGGTGGTCAAAGCTAAGGGAAAACCTTGAGAACGAATCTCCTGTGAGAATTTGAGCGACTGCCGGCGTTCGGCTGTCCCTCTGAGGGCACCAGGATCTATCTTTTCATGTATCTCTCCCGTACACACTTGTAGTTCTATTTACCGTTGGATCAAAAAGTAAAATTAAACCCTTTGAATGCTTCTCTTCTCGGGGACTACTTTCTGAAACAGTTAAGCAACAACGAAAACATGTTTGAGTGCCACAATGGTGTGTACCTGTAAAATGGGTCCTGCAACGATGTTTGTACTTTCAGTAAATACCGATAAGAGCCCATTCCTGACGTTGATAACTTGCAGAAACACCCATTAGTTCTCGTCTCCGCCCAAGGGCAGACGCAGAAAAGATAAAGCACAGAAACAGCTTTCCCCTCCTCAACTCAGTTCTTCAATAAAGGCATGTGTTGGGGTTGGCAAAGAATAAAGCATGGGTTGAGCTTTAGACATTGTCAGAGTTCGCTTATTCTCACCTCTGATTGAACACGAACCGTTACCCGAATGTTTGGCGACGCTAATTGTCACGAACTCGAGCAGTCGACTCGGGCTCATGAAAATCGAGTGCGTCAAGGTGTCACGTGACTCGCGGTGAGAGATCGTAATGCGATGGGACGTCACGGTGTCATCAACGCTAATAAATCTAGTGACGTTGTAAACTTATGTCGACATTTGTCACGTGACTAAGTCTCGAGGCCACGTGACGTCACATTACTTGACACCATGCCTTGACACCATGACGTCACGTGACCATACGACACATGGATAATCATTGTGACAATACAAAAGTGCCACGAAAACCCACAAGTTCTCATACATTGCAATTCGGTGTTTGGCAATTTGATCTCTACATATGAACACAGCTCCCAATTTTTCTTTCTCAAACATTTATTTTGAAATACAAAAAAAAAAAATAACGTGAACTGTTTTGAACCGGTTTCTGTTATATTGTTTCCTGTGCAGTGCTGGTTCAGTTTCGAGATGGTGGCGAAAATTTCGGTTCGGCCAGCGTTACCAGAAAAACTTAGTTTGGATACTGCCATATAGCCCGCTCTGAAACAAGTGGCACCGATCAGAACTCAAGAACCGAGCTAATTGCAATCGTAACGCCGCCATTTCTCCCGCAGAGGCCACTGGGGGACTGCACGGCTGCTTGAATTGGTTCAAGAGTATCGCGTTCGATAGCGTCCACTGTTACCCATGTATTTTGGTTTTAATCGCCTAACTTCCAAGCGGACGCGTCCCGAACTACTACCCAAGCTAGGATGCGCCCAGGTTGGGACGCGCTACCTGAAATCACCGGTGAGACATGGTTGTTTAAAAACAATATAAATTGTGCCACAAAACCTTGCAAACTAAAGATTTTAGAAACATCATATGTCTGTCATTCTGTACTAGTGTCCAATAAAGGCTCCTAGAAAAAGAACTTTTTCCGTTTGTTTTTACGCAAAAACATGTTTTCTAAAAGCTCATATTAACTACATTTAAAAAAAAATACAAAAAAATGTTGAACAGCCATTTTGGCACCTCGAGCCCGAGAGTTTCGGAAATGTTGGACTCGATCAGTGGCCATATAAAGCAACTTTCACGCCTCAACCCATTTCTAAATGGCGGCGCTGTAATCGTATTTAGCTTGGTCTCGGTAAACGCCAGCGAGGGTGAGTTTCCCAACTGAATGTTTTAGTAACGTTGGGTTCGGTCAGAAATGACGGTTTGGTTCCGGATTGGTTCCTACACCACGCGCTTCACGCGAATGGCTCCGCTCCCAACACTACCTCGTATTCTAGTTCACTGTAGTTCTATTGTAACCATGGAGGTAGGAAGAAGAAGAGGCGATAGAGCGACTCAAGCCAGCAAACGAGAAAAATCCCTAGCGAAGCCGAAAGTGGAGGACGCGGTCGGTGGAACGGCCCCCAGGGTGACCAAAACCACACCAAAGCCGCTGCTGGTGAAAAACCAGGTGTCGTTATCGTCCAATACCGTCTTCACGTTTCGGTCATCCTTGAGGGCGTGTCCCTCTAAACCGGAAAACTCGGGACCTCATGTCGCCTCCAGAACACCTCGATGATGGTAACTTTAGCGCGCTTCTTATGGGCTCCAAGTAATTCTGGTATTTACTCATTTAGTAGTTTTCGATGATACTCAGAAAGTTTCTGATAGGAATCAGATCTTTATCTTCAATCAATTAAAATGCGAAGAGCAAATTTTTGTTAATTAACTGATTGATCGTGATGCTTATCGACTAATATTATGTCTTTTAGTGCGCATAAGCATCGCTTTCGTGTCTTTTTTCTTAAACATATATGTAAAGCCTTAAAGAAACAGACTGAATTTCGTCCCCCACCTCCTCTTATCTTAATTACATACCTTCCATGCATCTTGCAGAGGCCCAAGACCTGGGTAGTTGAAGTAAGGGCTGTTTTCCGGGTTTTTCATTTTCATTTTCTCCGTCCAGTGAAAGCTCGGCGTCCATTCCTCGTACCTTGCCCAGACCTCCGCCGCGGCGAAATATGCGAACAACAATGCGCACCGGAGGTTCATAGCAACGTATTCTTTCTGCATTCCCTTCTCTTTTGAGATCGACTGAACACTGCCTCGGTGTTAAATAAGTTCCTATTTTTTTTTGTGTTGGTATTTCAATATACAGCTGTACCGGATCATAGCTGACGTTTGTGACAAGACTCTCTTGAGGGAAAATCATTGTTCAGAGAGGCTGCGTTAACATGTGAGACAAGTGTCCGTTATACACAACGAAGTAAAAAAAAAATAAAAGCCAGTAGTAGCTTTGGGAAAGCAATTATGAATTTGAGTTGTTCCGATTCCCTCGTCGCTTTGGTTTCTGTGGTTGCAGCTCACACAAACGCCTGAAACAGCCTTGAAGCGACAGAAACAACAAAGTAACACTTCGCCTTACTACGTCGTAAGAATGAACTCAAAATTAATCTGACGAGATTTACAAAAAAAACAAAAAAACAGTAACTATGCCGCGGATGGGAGTATTCCACATCAATATAATCGGCCAGTTTTATCGCTTCCTAGCTTGCACTGGCGTGGGGTGATTATTATCAGAAACAAGGAAAGCAGACGCGACGTGGTAAACTATACACGCTGACGTCCTAAACAACGCAGCGCGTTCTAGGGCCCAATAGTTTTATTATTGCTGCGAAACCGATTAGATTTAGGTAATTTCGGAAAATAATGCCCAAGAACGAATAACAAAGCGAGAAGAGTTAAGGTAAGAAGTCACACGCCCGGTATTTCTTAAGCCGTCGGTGACTACTATCTATCTGGCTTATAAAACAATTATTTCGTCAACGCTAGAATAATAAAACGTAATTCTGAACTGTGGTATAACGTCAATTACCCTACGAATTTAGACGAGGCTACAAAGAAAACCGTAAGGTCGGGATTATACTGCTCATTCATTACTCAAAAGACAGTCTCCAAACACGAGTCACCGCAATGTCCATGGTTCGAATGCCGCGTGCCCAAGTTTCTTCCCTGAACTCGTTGCCACTCGGCATTCGAAGCACGGATCTCGCGATGCGTGCACGCATCAAGTTTCTCCAGGTATGTTGCCGGCATTTCGCTCCGAAAGTCAATTAGCTAAAGATTTCCAGTGCACCTGGCCTCCCAAAGCGAATATTTTTAGGCCGTGTTCTAATTGTGCATCATGACCAACGAGGCAGGGGGGCTTAGAGGTAACCCGCCCCCCTCCTCTTGCTAGCCACCATGTTGTACAATTTTGACCACTAGACACATGACTGTACCGAATCCTGAGGCTTTTACGCAAAACTGAGCCAAGATTTGCATTGCGATCACTCTAAAAAAACATAATAAACTATTTGTCAATACTCTTAGCCCCAGATATCGGTGTCTAGCTCCGATAGAAACCCTAAAATACAGTACCGCGGCTGACGGCATCTATCGGAGCCATGGCGAAGCTGCCCGAGGTATTGTGGCAAAAGCACATTTCGGACTTAAAGTAAATGAAACATAACTTATCTCGTCGGTACTGCTATTAAAGATCACTAAGCAATTATCAGTGCTGGGTACTTTTTCAAAATGGAGATGTAAAGCTATAAGGCCACATGTCAAGTGAAAAAAAAAATGTGCAACATGGCTGCGGCCGGATGGGGGTCACTTTCAGCTGCCAGTTTATCGTGCTAAGCCCCCCTAATTTGTTGGTCACGGCGGTCAATCACCTTTCTCACGGGTGCATGCACGAGAAAAAAATAACAACAACAGAAAAGGTGCAATGACTGCATAATTGCATAATTATTATTTTGTTTTTTTTTTACTCCTCCCGGTCACTTTTTACCGCAAATCAACAGAAGTTGACAGGCGCCTATATTGGACCGCAGTGCATGCATGATGAAACGCTGAATGCCACTTTCATGGGCACGTCTTGGGAGCAGAGGTCGGCATTTTAGGTCGCCCTCACTCACCCTCACCCTCACAGCAACACTCACCTTCAGCCCCTCACTCACCCTCACCCTCACAGTCACACTCACCTAAATGTTTAGGACTTGGTTGGTGAAGGTCTGTATTTCTTGAATTTTCGGCCCAACCAGACGGAGTTCCGTCAAACGTGTTTACGTGTAGAACATGCATCCCAATATATTTCTTTTTGCAGTAAGGCTTCGTGTATCGGATTATTTAGGAGAATACCATTTATTATCTTTCTTCCCGCACATTTTGTGTATTTGTTTTAAGGCCCATAACGTGAGCACACAGTCCTTCCTGGCATAGCCGGCGACGGTGTGTTTAACACTGTCAAACAGCGAAAAAAAATAAACATTTCCGCAGACGCAACAGATGGCGTATTTTCGAGTATCGTCCTCCCGTGTCTGTCTCAAGCGACACGGGAGGACAATAAGCGACACAGGAGGGTGAGAGCTTCATACGGTCAAATTTACTAGTGGCAAGAAAAAATATTTTATTACTTCCTGAAGACTTGAGAACATAAATAAAGGACCAATCACCCTAAAGATATACATCATAAGTAAATTATGTATATCATTTACTTATGATGTATCTCTTTTTCACCGAAATATGCTCTGCAAATGTTTACCGGCGTTTTTCTTTTCAATTGGCACGTCTATGAGTGATCTCATAGTTCCTGACGCATATTCAACTTCCCAAACATATAGAAGTATGTTGCCTTTTTTATGTGATGGAAAACAATTTTAAGTGTCTGTGGGCTGGACGAAAACAAAGTACACAGTGGCGCGTGGCAAAAATATGACGATTGCTGAAGCTGGCGGTCAGAGAGTGAGCAGTTATGTAGTTGCAATGTCGAGTAGACTATGAAATACTACTTTGCTTTGTTTAACAAAAAAACAAAAAAACAAAAAAAAAAGAACAAATAAAGGTGATACTTATTTGCAAATTGATTTGACGTGCATCTTGTCAAGAAGAAACCTGAAACGACAAGCTATGTCAAAAATTTTCGTTCGATATGCGCTATTTTAGATCAGATCCTCAAATGAGTACGAAGGTCACTCTTTTCTGCAGAAGTATTCGCCTGCATCACATTGCTGAGTGCCGACAATATTGGTCAGGAAAGCAAGCGTTGTTATTGCCGCTCAGTGTTTATATAGAAGGTACACTAAAAGGGTTTGTTCTAAAGCTTTCCTAACACCTCGAAAATATTATTGCTTCTAGCTCACTTGCATCGTCATCATATATATCGTGAAACGTATTTTTGTAAACCAGATTTCAGAGCATATGTGGCGAGGACGTGCCCGTTTTATGACCTTACGCACTGTAATTAATTCCTAAGTTTTAGAGCAAAACAGGATCCGACCTTTCATAGTGCGACATGAAGTTGTAACAATCACGGGTATTTTAGGTGACCTACAAGACTGAGAATTTTTTGATTCAGGTAAAATATATACGACTAGGGTAAAAAAAAAAAAAAAAAAAAAACAAAGCTGTTGATTCATATACGGTAATCTAGCTTTTATTTTACTGTTTCATTGAAATTAAATTCCGTAATTTATTTTTGATCCTTGAAATTAAAAGTGGATTCTACGAACAATGAAAAGCAATATAGTTACTCGTTTGAGTTTAGAAATTGTGCCTATTGCCAAAAGAACGCAGAAAATATATTTTCAATTCAGCGATTCGAACCGGTACGATCAAGTTCAGACCGGTTCGAACCGTCATTTTCTGTGCCCTGAACTGAACCGGAGCTGAACCGAAAGCCGCAAACCTCTAACCGGGACCGAACCATTAAAAATTTCGGTTCGACACTCTGTCCAGTAGTAATGGGCAGGGCTACTGATCTGTGGGGTGGGCCTTACAGTGTGTCATATTCTCCATCTGAACATCGTATACCAACGTAAATATTGCGGGATTTTTAGTCTAGAAAAATTACGAAAAAAATGTATGTGTTTTATCTACGCCCTCTGAAGAATAATGTTTTTTTTTTTCTTTATTCATTTCGATATCTCTTTCAGTGTGAGCGCAGCGGATGCTACAAGAGCGAGCTCCAGGCTTTCAGCCTCTCTGCCAAGCACTCGCTCTCGTGCAGTGCAAGCCCTGTTCAGGACCACATGCTCGCCTTTGTCTCATCGGCTGCATCTGGACTTAAGCTGGAACGCAGTATCGGAAACCGGTCCAGCAGGTGTCCCCGCTGGAGATGAAAATCTAGCCAGTGCGGTACCCGTGCTATACTCCGTTTTACCTTATGCTGTAGCACAGCAAAGGCTAGAAGCGCGAGATCATCGCTACATAGTAAGGTGAAATAGAGTACAGATGCGTTTTTAACATGCCTCACGCAGTAGTGGTACGCGACGGCACGCCGATACGCCGGAACGCACAAGGATTTAACCCAGGACAGCCGCGCCGAATCTTCTCTTCCGCACGGCAGCTGGAGATAGAAGGCGCGGCGCCTGGTACATGTTAACGCTTCTTCTGTTTACGAGCTTCCGTGCTCATAAACACACACGTCAACTGATTCTCCGGGGATTGAAATTCCTGAGGCATTTTAGTATTGTTAGGTTTGACGTGATTTAGGTGCAGCAGTGGAATGCCGATGATGGCGTCGTCTGATTGACGTGTCTATAGGCACAACTCCCACTCACTCGATTGTTTGAGTCGTCGCCCAACGTTGGACAATAAAGAGATTGAAGTATCATTTTACAGCACGAAATGCTTTTTAACGACAACCCCTATTCCCAAATTTTTTTCGTTTTTGCCGTCCGTTCGTTCGTCCGGGCATTTCCCGACAAATTTAGCGGGAAAACGTCACTAACGTGGCCTAAACAATAATTCAGTTTTCCCGCTAAATTTAGCAGGAAATGTGATGTTTGCGTGAGCTTACGTCCAGAGACCCACAGGTCACGTTACTTATACAACAATTCAATTAACCCGCTAAACCCGGCGAAAAAATTTAAAAAAAAGTCTCTCTTCATTCCCCGAAATGACCGTTTAATGTGTTCTAAGGAAATTTAACTGATCGTTTTTTGCATACCGCATTCCATGCATAATAGGACTTTGTAGAAAGAGGTCACTGTCAATTATCTTACATGCACAAAGGGAGGTATGACTTAAAC